ACATTTTGACCTCAACCTTCTCCCGAACGTGGCGGATACAGTTTTTCCATTCCTCTGCCGTAACTCTATTGACTGCGATGTGAAAGAGATTTTTAACATCAGAAAATGTATAAGTATTATTATTCGACGCCACGTATTGCTTTATGTTGGCCCAAATCAGCTCAATAGGGTTCAGCTCACAATGGTAGGGTGGCAGTCTCAAGACAGTTTTATTTTGTTTTTTGGCCATTTCGTCGATCATTTTAAAATCGTATTTGTATTTATGTCTATTGACTATACTTATCAATTCACCCTTGACCATTGTTTCATCAAAATCGATCTATTTTGAGGCCAGCCATTGTTGTATGTTTGCTTTTTTAGTTGCCATTGTGGGAATTTTTTCTATTTTTCTAGAATGGTACGGGGCATTATCCAGTACAATAACAGCGTTATTCTCCAGCTTTAGTAACATTTTGGAGAACCAATTTTCAAAGGAATTGCCGTCCATCTCCTCATGATAGTCCCCTGTCTTTTTTGATTCAAAGGCCCACAGTGCTTCGGGAACAAAGCCGTCTTCACTACCTACGTGACAAATGATCAGCCGTTTGCCTTTTCCTGGAAATAAATTATTCCTTACACTATGGATTGATTAAATTTGAAGGAATGAGGCAATTGAGTTTATTTCGCTGAATTTAAGAGTCACGGAATGCTGATCAAAAACTGAAAAACGTAGAAAATTGAAGTTTGCAACTTCTCAAAACCCATTCAAAGCAAATTGACTGCACCCAAAAATGATAATAAATTTCAAAATAACGCTTAAAAGAGGGTCGAAGTTTTTTTCCTAATGACTACACTGCGAATGCACCATTTTTGGAGAATATCACACATTATCTGCTATCACAGCATATTATTTGCTCGAATTTATCAAAATTAAATTGCCGGATAGATGAAGGAGCTTACCTGCAGGATTTTTCGATCCAGCCGAAAGACCGTCTAGAAAAGCCTGCCTTGATGATGTTACTGATTTGTCGACCCAAACTTTCGCTTGAGTATGTCCAGCATTCACCCACGTTTCGTCCAAATAGTAAATTTTTCTTTTTTCATCGCGAAACTTCCGAATCTTCCTAAGGTATTCCCTTCTCCACACAACAATTTCTTCTTTCTCTATTAACATACTGTTTCTTCCCCGTTTCAAGAATCGAAAATTAAGTTCCTTCAAAAGTTTTCGGAATGTGGTTCTTTTAAATGATGGAAGATCCTCATCAGCATTAACTAATCTTAATATCTTATCTATTGTAGGTATCTCATTTCGGAAGAAAAAATTATGCACTTTCCTCCTGTTGGCAGTTCTGTCAAAGTCATCTACTCCGTCCGTTATCCTTTTTCTTGCAGGATACGGTTTTGGCTCAGAAAGTGAGTGAGTGCTCCTATATTCCTTAATGATCCTATAAACACTGGACCGACATACTCTAGAAATATGTGCTACCTTACATATAACTTCGTCCACGACCAAATCGGGTTTTTCTTGAATTTGGTTTTTGTATATATTTAATATTATTTGTTTTTCATTTGCACTTAAATGTAGCTTCTTAGCCCTTTTTTTGGGTGGGGTTGCGCTGATGTCAACCACTTCGTCGGCTGTATCTGTGTCAGACATCGTATCTTAGGCAATATATAAACAAAACGTTCCACTCGCGAAAAACGAGTATACGCTACTGAATGCGTAATGCGTATAATGCAATCCTGTGCGTGAATTAACTGTTAGATGCCTGTCGTGTCATCTACAATCACGTTTACAAGTCCAAACCTGTGCAGATTCGTAGAGCGCCGACGACTGCTAGTGACCTTGAATTTGTCTGTAGATCGATGTTACTCCAGTCAATTTAGGTTCAAAGTGGATGTTTTCTAAACCAATTTGTTGTTCCTACATCAAAAATATATCGATGATGTTTTGTACTGGGAGCTCATGTAAGATCAAGGTAACTTATTTTAACAGTCATCCTTTTTCTAGTCTCAAGATGACACGAAAAAGGGTCTGTGGATTCACTAGAAATACACTCCCGAGGATGTTTAGACCTAAAGTGACTGGAGTATATCCGTGAATGCTTTCGAGGGATCTGTTCACGTGCTGATCACTGTTTACGTTTAATGTCTTTCTTCAGCGCCCAGAGTATAGTTTGAGAGACGTTTTCCAAGAAATCGACCATATTCATTAGATCCATTACTTGAAAGACGCCTTCTTATTCTTACTTGTGTAGAACGCGCTCTTTTGTTTTGTAAAATCAATCATGAATGATACATCCTGTATTAGTTTTTTGATTCTATGCAAAATTCGCACACATAGAGGTCCTACTGAAAAGACTAAGATGTCTTACCCCAAAATTCAAGTATTTTCGTGATCTTTTTATGAAAGATCTATACAGGGTGACTTTGAAGTTGAGTCATTAATTTTCAGATAATGATTGTAGAAGGAAGATACACCAAAATATGTGTGTAAAAATAAAAAAAAATAAAAAAAATGTCACCTTGTTTTATAAAGTATCCTCCCGACAAGTATTTCAGTGCGGACCTGTATTTGATCGTGCGGTCTTGGAGCACCGGCATGGTCTACCCTGTGAGGTCTTAAGTCACCTGATTCACGAGCCCTTTGTACTACATTAACAATGGCACGAGGGGTTGGTTGCACTCGATTGGGAAACCGATCCGCATAAATCCGTGATGCCACCCTGTGTATTCTCTACGACGCTCTTGTCTAGCATATTCTAACATTTGGTACGAGTAAACTGATTCTTCATGAGATTACATATCCAACAGATAATCTTTTCTTTGAAGCTCAACTCCCAGACGTTAGACAAATCTACTTTCACAATGGATTGTACCACATTAAAAATAAGATGCATCTAAATCCTATCAATCACAATTATCAAACAAGATTTTAACAAAATTCAGTATCTGTGCGAAAATCTAGAAAAATCATCGGTGAAAGACCTCTTCTCTTTTAAGCCAAAGATTTGTCATTCATATTTCGGCAACAATAAAGGTTATTGAAACATTAAAAAAGTTTAAAAAAGAAATCAAGTTATTTATTATCCAGGAACCAAGGGACTCGATCCATAAACTTATAGACATTGAAAATTATTATTAAATATATATATTATGAGTGTACCTTTGCAATAATTTGCCTTCTACCCAAAGAAATTAAAAGATATCTTCTCCTAACAGTTAAGGCAAAATTAACTATGAATTAACTATGAATACTATATATATATATATATATATATATATCATGCGTGTATTTATATTTGAACTGCATTTAAGGAGAATGATTCTATCAGTTTTATATCAAACACCTAAAAAATATAAATTTATACTCTTAACTACATACATTGTAATACGTGCATTATTTAACGTTAGTGTACTTACCCATTTGTATTTTTTTCATTCTCATGTGAACCCAAGCACAAGTTGTTTGTGTATTTTATGTTTATTCTAGGATAACGATTTTGTGTACGTTATTCGAATAAATATTATTATTATTAATAGTAAGGGGAATCGTAATTCTCAAAATATGTAAAACATGCTCATGAAACTCGTTAACAGTATATAAGGAACATCTTATCTGTGCCCAATACCCTTTAATAACTTATTTTGTTTAATTCGATACATTCTTGTGTTATCCAATTAACACGAATTTGTTTTTACTTTGGCTCAACTCGAGATGTGTTGTACTCAACCGTCGTTTACGATCTGTAATGTCGTACGGACGAGACAAAAACGAGTCCTATAGAACCTATTTATTTTATAATTTTATCGTTGTATAATAAGAGAACTTAGTATACACTTAAAACCAAATACCACTAACGTTTTAATGTGTACGAGAGAGAAGTGCGAGAAGCGTGCAATACGTGTGTTAGAAAGAGATCGAAGCATCTCTTTGCCTAGCAACCCGAGTGACGAGGCCACCTATGACATCGGCGCACTCTCTCTATCATACATATTGCACGCTTCTTTCTCGTAGTCAGCCTCACCGAACGTTTTAAATTGTCAGTATTATTTATTCTATTATAAACATATCCCTCCCGACTTAAAGTTAACCAAGTTAGCTATGACGCATCGGTATGCTACGGGAAATGTCATTCCAAAACATTTAAAAGACATTAATAGCCACACTGAAGCGATAACAAATAGTGAAATAATCTTCACGCTTATGAGGTAATTACCTGGGAATTATAAATGAAACATTCTGAATAATATGTCAAAACAATGATAGTTCCATAGCTCGGCCATGATCAATGGTAAACTAAGATTAAGTCATGGGAAACACCTTTGTAACAGAAAACTGAAAATATGATTATCTAAAAATACATGTTTTAATTGACTAATGTTATACATAGCTTTTGTCCTATAAAAGTTTTTTATTTTTTATTGTAGTATGTATAAATTATGACAAGAAATAGATTAGGATATTTAAAAAGGCCTGCCAATGGTTTCTCAAATTTTATTCCATTTATGTTTAAATTAAATAGCCATCAAAATTTGTAAAATCGGTATTTTTCTATAAAAGCTGTTCCAAAACAAACAGAAAAAACACCAATACAAAGTTGGTAATGTTCCTTTATCCTATTTTTCATTTTTGACATAACCTTTGAGTATGTTATAGAGCCAGCAAGATCATACTTCCGATGTTTCGGTCATTTTAAAATCGATTCGGTCTTAGCGAGGTATACCGCCTATAACTTGAGAAATTGTGGATTTCGGCCAAGGATGAAAAAGCTTTGTAGTTTTTGAAAATCGGTCCAGTGGCGGCAGAGGAAAAAAGTAAAACTCACTTTTTGAAAAAAAAAATCAGAGGGGAAAAACTTGAGGGTGGGGATTGTTCAGTGGTAGGGAGAGATTATCTCAATTTTTGATGCTGGTACATTTATTTATTCACGAGGTTGCTGAAATCCCTATAAAACGTAATATTTTAAGTTGGTAGTATAATACGATAAAATAACAAAAACTCTTTTCATATTTCACAGACTCACAACCATCATCGCACTACGACCCTGGAGGAGGCGAAGCAGGCGGAGGCGGCCGTCACTCCTACCAGCATCACCACCGTTCCCTGAGTGAAGCTTCCTCCTCGACGACAGAAACCTCCTCAACGCCAGGCAGCGGTAGTTCCGGTGGAAGCCACGCCCACCAGGCCAACCGCACCGACTCTCCGGACAATGACTCCGCCTTCAGCGACACCGTGTCCTTGCTTTCTGGCAGCGAATCGTCGGCCAGCAGTGGAGGGGGCGGTGTTAGCGCTGCGGGGGCGGCGCTTACCAGGCAGTTGTCAATGCGATTGCAGGGGATGCAACAGGTATGAGTCTTGAAACATGCATGGGTAGAAAATACGCTTCTCAAAAAAATAACGCACGCAGAAGCAATGAATACGGAGTTACCAGTAGAAGGGCACTCGCGAAAAAGCCTTTGATCTTCTGACTTCTAAAGATGCCGACATTTTTCTAAGAACTTGGATCTTTTTTTAGAAAACAGTAGTACGCAACGGAAATGAGCGTCGTGCCGTGTATTTTTACCACATTTAATTTTTAAAATTTTCACCATTAACGTATTGACCGCGGGATCTAACATTGAACTATTCCAAGGGTGTAATGTCAATCCTGATGATCTACTTTTAGCTTGTTATTAAGCCCTGACAGTCAAGTTTTAAACTATGTTAGATTAACCTGACGCCGAATCAATCGAAATAAATAAGACACGGATAACCTTGAGTTTCTTGTACTGGCGTTCAATAAAACCGGTACTGGCGTGAAAATAGAAAACCACAACGTTCCTGTCTGTTTTGTAATCCGCATTATGTTTACACCAGGGCTGTCCAACTTAATGTGGCCCAAGGGCCACTTCAAAAAAAAAATGCAGTTTGGAGGGCCGCATTATAAAATCTTTCTATACAACATTATTACAGAGTTAATGTAAGAATTGTGCATATTCGGTATTTGAGAGTAATTGATACATGTGATATATTATATGACCCGTGAAGCGGGCCGTATGTTGGACACGATTTTGATTCACGCCCCTCAAACCACACACATACGTATATATTTCGTAGTAAACAAAGCTTAAGCAAACGTTGCATTATTTTCTGGATCTGTATTGCTGTATTATGTCTAATGTTTCTAGAAGCACGGTCTCGTGCGAAACATGGTAACTTTAGAGCTCTACTTCCTGATGAGTCATGACCTAAATATTTCATTTAATTAACATCATTGCTGATGTGTTATTGTTCTAGCATAAACGATATATGGTGCTGACAAAACACTGCGGGTTATCCGGCCAGTGATGTTTGACAGTAAGAAGAATATATTTTTTTCGTTATCTGCCCTAAGATCACACTACGACAAGGACGTTAAGCTTTACACACCTTTATTCATGAAATATATATATGCTTATTTTAATGATACAATGTGTTAACTATGGTCCTTGACACACTCCCTTTGGTGAAAATGGTAATTTGGTATATTGAGGGAACAATGAGCTTAATAATAAAATTGCATCTAGGTATATCGTCATAGTTCAGAATGAAATAGGCTAAAAATTCGTTACTGCTTTAACTGTCAACTGTTTGGGATATGACACATTTATCTAAAACTCTCAGGATGAAGCTTCGAGACTCAAGGCCGAAAAAATACGAATGGCGATGGAGAAAATCAAAGAAGCGAATATTCAGAAGCTGTTTCTGAAGGTATTCACCATTGACGGTTCAGCTAAGTCACTATTGGTTGACGAGAAGATGCTATCTTCGTATGTAACGAGGTTATTGGCAGACAAGAATCATGTGCAGATGGATCCTAAGTGGGGTATTGTGGAACATTTGCCCGACTTGTATATGGGTGAGTACGATAATACTTAAAAAAAGAGCAATGCAAACTTTTTGCGGAATTTTATGCTTGCTAACTTTGTTGTTGACTAGAAATAACTATATGTGACACTGAATCTTAGAAGTGAAATAGATAAAATATACAGCCCATCGCGTCCACTGAGAGGTCGGAAACGTAGTCACTATGTCGCTTAGATGAGAAACATTTGCTTTTACACGAAACTGACTTAATTTGTTACGATTTTCAGCAAGAAATAGAGCAGTGGCGAGTAATCATATAGAGTTTAGATTATTTTTGATAGAGAAATAAAAAGCACCAATTCCTGGAAACAGGTTAATAAGCATGACTACATTTTTAATGAAAAATTTAAAGAAATTTTATAGTCTAACTTCTGAATGGCTTAAGTCTTCACGAAAATTCGCAAAAACCAAAATGGGCAGAAAACGGGGTGATGTAACTCAATTCTGTAAAGTCAGTTCAATCACTCAACTTTTTCCTTATTTAATAAACATTCCAACTATAATCATTCTCAAGACCATAGCACTATTCCATCCTTATCTTGGACATATTTTATGTTCTTGCAGATTTACTCCTGCCCTTCAAGGCATGGTAACTTTTTGTTGACAATGATATATTTTCTTTCACTTGAACATATTTTAACGCTAGACAACACCAAAGTGAAATGTTTACTTTTTGGCATTTGAGCAGTAAAAACGTGCAAAAAGGAGAAATTTCAGTTTTTAGAATGTGTTTATTTTAATAAAACATAGCGTCATTATCTTTTGTACTCCCCAGTCCAGCGAAAACAAAGATAAAGTAACCTGAGTTGTGGTTCAAGTTTTGTTTTATTGAGTATAACTTTTTCCAGAGCGATTTTACGAAGACCACGAAAATCTAGTTGACAACCTGCTACTCTGGACGAGAGATTCTAAAAACAAAATATACTTCGTAGAAAGGGAAGACAAAATAAAATTATTCCTGCAACCCGAGAAGTTTCTTTTAGCATCCACAGATAAAAAGGACAATTCTGATTTTGATGAGCACTCAAGAAATATGTTGTTAGAGGAGTTTTTCTCATCGACTAGCTTACCGGATGTCGAGGGACCACTGTACTTGAAAGCTGACTCGAAGAAGGGTTGGAAGAAATACCATTTCGTACTCAGGGCATCAGGGTTGTACTATTTTCCTAAGGATAAGGTCAAGTCTGCTAAGGATCTCGTCTGCCTCGCTACATTTGATAATAATCATGTGAGTGGACTTCTAGGTATTTCGCAATTGGAATGTTTAATACAGACTTGTCAAATTTTTTGACAATAGTTTCATAACCTCATTTAAATCAGTCAATATTTGTATATATATGTATATAATAAAGAGTAGGAAAATAATGGGCAAAATCCACAAAAAGGAGGAAGGCGGATTCGAGCAGAAAATAGGATAGGTAACCCGAGAGATATGTATTTCTGCTGCAGAACCGGCCGCGTCGTTGTGGTTAGATGTTTCCTTGAAAATTCGAGGCCTTCTGTTTATTTTATACTACAATGTGTAGGTTGGCTCTTGTGGTGGACTTCGTGTGCCGTTTTTTTCCTCTCCATCTTCGTTTCCTCAGGTTACAGCCGCATCTGGATGTGTGGGCGTTGTATCTACTTTTGTTGCATAAAAGTGCATAATGCGCCTTCATTTCGGGCCTGATGAAGCCAAGCAGCAGAAATACGTATCGCTCGGGTTACCTATCCTATTTTCTTTTCGAATCCACCTTCCTCCTTTTTGCGGATTTTGCCTATTATTTTCCTACTTTATATACAGGGTGACTTCGAAGTTGAGTCATTTATTTTAACAGTGAGTAGATCTGATCAAAAGAAATGTTTTTTTCCTTTACCATTTTTCTGGTAAAATTAAAGTAACAAAGTTATAGCCCTTTGGAAGCTTGAGTACCGCCCTGCCTATTATATGCTCGTGTTTGGCGACAACGGATATAATCCGCCTGACCGGTTCATCGCATCGGAAACAAAAAAGCGAAAGAATTTGAAACGTTTATCACGATGTTTTTCGTCAGTCGATAACGCGTTAGTGAATAGTAGTGTGTTGCGTGGCTCAAACGAAATCAAAAATGGCACATGTTTACGAAAATGCTGAACTTGTGGACATGATTCTTATTTACGGGGGGGCAGTCTTTACAAAATGCTCCCGAATGCATCACGGATTTATGCGAATCGGTTTCCCAATCGAGTGCAACCAACCCCTCGTGCCTTCGTTAATGTAGTACAAAGGGCTCGTGAATCAGGTGACTTAAGACCTCACAGGTGAGGGCATGCTGTTCCAAGACCGCACGATCAAATACAGGTCCGCACTGGAATACTTGTCGGGAGGATACTTTATTAAACAAGGTAAAATTTTTTTTTATTTTTTTTTTTAATTTTTACACACATATTTTGGTTTATCTTCCTTCTACAATCATTATCTGAAAATTAATGACTCAACTTCAAAGTCACCCTGTATATATATATATATATATATATATATATATATATATGTGAATGCAGAATGACAGCATCACGTAGGAACAACAAAATGTGTACTCTTACTAACTGATACCTCCAGGAATGTTATAGACATAGCTTTATCCGCGAATTTATTGTCGATTTTGACAATATTCAACTGTTGCGGCAAGTACCAAAATCGTCAGCGTCAACCTTTGACCATCAAGCGATACAGACGTTTTATTTTGCACTAGCTGTTACCCGCAACTTTGTACGCTTGAACTTGTTACTTACATAAAACATTGATTTAAAGTACCTAATGCTGTAAACGTTTTGTATCTTTATTGGCGTTAGTGAATTGACAGCCAGCTTGCATGCCTGGGAAATTTGGTTACTTTATTAGTAGTAGTAATCTCTCCCACAATACCAACGCGGGTTTTCCCCAGGAACAGGTTTTGGCACTGACATTGTTTCTCTTACATATCAACGAACTCCTTTCCTGATCGATCAATCCGATACACAGCTTTGTTGCCGGTGAGTTGTAGAAAAAAAGACGCTCTCCTCACTGACGTGAGACCTATAGGTTGTTTATCACTGCTTGGGGACGCAACAATCTGGTACAGCTTAAGGCTTCCATAACACAATACTATACCTCGACTAACAAGAAGCGCAATTGTGATCATCCCGTTTCGATAGATGGACCAGTTCTACCAAAGAGCCGTTTATTTCAGCTGGTGGGACTCCAGAGCACCGAGAACTTGATCTGCTAGGAACACAACTCTTCAACAGCGGCAGCTGCTGGAAAAAAGTTGACATATTTGGTTAGGGCTAAGAAGAACGTTTTTCGTTAGCATCGAGTACTGCTCAGATGTTTGGGGTGCTGCCACTGTCTACATTATCCATGCTCGTTTCTGTTCAGAGGAGGGTTGTCCGACTGCGACCTAGCTCTCTTCTACCGCTACAGGGGGCTCTCCTCCTCAGAGCTCTGCTCTATGATGCCGCCGCGTGATGTGCCTAACTTCGGCCTTTCATCCTGACCGTGTCGAACTTCGTACATCCAGAACTGGTCGATACTACCGCTCTTTTGTCCCTAGGGTATCGAGATTGTGGAACAGTCTAATCGAGGAGGCTTTTCCCAGCCCTTTTAACATTAGACAATTCAAAAATCGGATTAACAAAGTTTCTTTAAGCTCCTCATAGCAGCCGCGGTGCCCTGGTACTTGGGCTTCTGCATACGCGGTCTTTCAGTATAAAAATAGTACTGGTATAAGGCTCGTACTTCCTCAAACCGATTTTGACACATTTCAAAATTTCGGCAAGAGCTCCTATCTGAGAACGTTTTGAAAAATATACTCTAACAGTGAACACTAAAAAAGACGGCTGTAAATCTGTATGTCTAATTTTAATGGTTTCTACGTCAGCATATGTTCCTTTTCATATCTGCATCAATATTTGATCTTCGGCAAATTGGAACTATCTACCATACATATGCTTTCGGTAGGCGAACAACGACATACCTTCTTGTTAACGTCAAGTCCAAGGTATATTATTTCATTAAGTATTGGCATCAGCTCGTTTCCCATTTTAAACTATTTCCGGTGATTCTACGCATACCTAAACAGAAGACAGATGATCTTTTATACATTTCGCTTCAATTCCTACTCGTGCACGGTCAGTTCACTGATAATAGCGCGATTTACTTTTCCTCGCCGTATTTTTTATACCCATAATGTAATTACGATGTTTGCTGTTTTAGATGTATTACGGCCTTGGTTGGAAGAAAAAGTATAAAGCTCCAACGGACTACTGCTTTGCAATCAAGCACCCGCGATTGCAAGAGCCGAAAAGCACCAAGTATATAAAGTACTTATGTGCAGAGGACCAAGCAACATTAGAGCGATGGATGGTAGGCATGCGGATAGCAAAGTTTGGAAAACAACTGATGGACAACTATAGAAGCCTGATGGATGAGTTGGCTCAAGAAGATCTTGACATATTGGCGCACGCACGCAGTTGTTCTGTCAGTTCTATCGCAGTACAGTCGATGACGTCCAATGTTACTACACCCACGCAAGGGTAAGTACATGCTGTTCAAATGTTGTGAAAAAGACAAAACTCATTTCTTTTATCATGCTAAAGATTATTCCTCTTGATTGACCTCAAGCTAACTAAATATAAAAGAGGTTAAAGTTGGTGCATTTTATCTTTACTCTTGAGTGTTGACTTTAGATTTGTTCGTCTATACAGGGTGTTTTAGAAAGACGTGCCAATATTTCTAGGGTAGAAAGTATATCAAAAATAACAAAAAAAGTTCCTAAAAATATGGGTTCAAAAATGCTCCCCTATCGAGATACAAAGTGGTGAAGTTTTATTTACGGGTAAAGTTACTGAGTTAAGATTCAAGACGTTCAATGAACACATCATAAGCAATAATCGCACAGAGTTTCCCGGCCCAAAGTAAATCAGGGCCGTAGAAACTGGGGTACCTGGACCCCTAGTATGGAATATGTTCTACGCCACTGGCTTTTCGGAGAAAAAAAGTGCATTTTATGAAATATCATTTAATTTTCCATAAATTTTATCTTTGAGATATTTTTGTCACAGTACTCGTTTTGGAGATATTTAGTTTTGAGTATTTGAGGTAAAATCCTAAAATATCCTTATGGATAGGTTTAGCCTCCCCTATTCTGAAAACACCGGTAAACTTGATATTGGAAACACTATATGGCATGTGAAGAAAGTTATGGCATCTCATTACAACATAAATTGATTAATTTTATTATTCTAGGTACCCCGGCAGTGAAGCAGGTTATGGGACACAAAGTGATACGTACTCAGCGCCTAGTGATTTAAGTTCTGGTAGACATAGTAGGGCGAGCAGTTCTAGCTCGAGCGGATGCATGTCTGACGGAGCGCCATCTAGTTGTGAGAATGCATTCGAATCCGAATTTCCTATGGGTAAGTGCTACAGATACTACAACTAATTTATCAACAATATACCAACATTTCACTGTGCCAATTATGATGGAAAAGGTCTTGTCCTTATATCACGTTGGCGACTGCCATGCTCGGAATATTTTTGTAATGGTCACGATCTAGGACTGCATGTAGCAATTGGTCTACTGTCCATTGGTTGGAACATATTCCCCAACTAAGATACTTCCTTTTGACCTTTTTCTTCGAACTTTCCGTCTATTGACGGATGTGTAATTTTTGTCCGATTCTTGGAAGAATGGTCTGAGGAATTACGAGTATTCTTCGATACACCTGCACATGAAATGCTTCTTGTTGGTTTGTGATTTCAAAGTTCCAGTTTCACATCCATATATGGATTATACATAAGATCTTGAAAATGTTTCACTGACCTTACGTTTGTCACCAGATTCCGACAGATGAGACAAATGATAAAAATGGCAACGCGGAATAATCATATGCGTTCTGACAATCATTTAGTATTATAAAATGATTATATACATTTGTTGTGAAAATCAAAAACTATCTTTTAATCTTGTAGGCACAATAAAAAGAAAACCTTCCATGAAACCCAGTCTACCTCTGACAAACATAACACGACAGCTCAAAGAAGTGGGTGAAACCCGCGACGAAACTGATGACGTGGCAATACCTTCAAGTCCTGCACTGTACACAAATACCGGCACACTTACCAGATGTCATAGTAGGAGGAAATCGAACCATTCAAGTCATTCCAGTGATGATTCTTCGAGGTAAGATGTAATATTATTGACGAAGCATCATTTTTGCGTCAACTTACCAAAAGTAAGAAAATGTTTCTAAGAAAACTGGTTGAATGAGTTGTGACCTTGAATCATAATTTCAAATGATTTTATTCGACAATCAACTGTTTGGCTTAGAAACTTTGCACAAATAGTACTATTTGGTCCCTGGTCACACTTTTTCAAAATGAGACAATATTTATCCATCATCCCCGATAGCATTAAATATTTATTAAATATTTTTAAAAACATTCACCGAATATTTTTAGCGACAGTTTTTTTAATATTTAATAAATATATTCCTTATATATTCATAAAATATTCATTATAGATATATTTGTAGTATACAGGGTGTCCAGTAAGTACCACGACAAACTTAAGGGGAATGTAGGCTTTGGACTGACCTCCCAAATAACAAAAACTTACCTATATAAAAGTGTCACCGTTTTTGAGATATTGATTTTGTTTTAAATTTAAAAAAACGACCCTTTTCATCTGTGGTCTTTAGCTGCATGTACAAATAAGGTTATACTTTGTTCACTTTTTCTACAAAATAATTCTAGATAGTTGCTTCATCATATACAAATGCAATGTAGTTAAAAGATATTAAGGAACCATGATCAAATAAAGACTATTTTGGGATTTATAACCTTCTGATATTTTTTCCTCAACTTTGACCATCTGTGGTGAAACAAAAATGTACTGGGCTATAACTGCATTATATTGAATAAAAAGATTGCTCATTGAATACAGATTTCAGAAATGCACCACACGTACTATTTGGAATAGAAAAAAGTGATAGCTGCTTTTGTAAGTGACTGACGCACACTACAATGTAATTATTGGATTGAAATTCAAGTTGCACTGGTTACCGATCAGTGACATGCTAAATAGTACAAAGCTACATTATTATTACCTGCTCCTGATATGATTTTATGAAATTTGAGTAAACAATATCAGAAGGTTATAAATCTCAGAACATTATTTTATCATGGTTCCTTAATATCTTTTAACTACATTGCATTTTTATATGATAAAGCAACTATCTAGAAGTATTTTATAAAAAAAAAATGAACAAAGTATAACCTTATTTGTACATGCAGCTAAAGACCACAGATGAAAAGGTTCGTTTTTTTAAATTTAAGAAAAAAATCAATATCTCAAAAACGGTGACACTTTTATATAAGTAAATTTTTGTTATTTGGGAGGTCAGTTCAAAGCCTACATTCTCCTTAAGTTTGTCGTGGTACTTATTAATATATAATTCATATATTTTTCCGATATGTTTTCCAAATATTTAGCAAATATACGAGGAACGGTTTTTAAATATCAATTTTATATTTTGATGAAATATCTGATATTTTTTGTAAATATGTATGGATTTTCAAGCATTGATCTGATACATATTTTCAGTGTATATAGAAATTACTTCATTGGTTATTTTAGCAAAATCTGTGGGAATGCTTTTATATATTTTCGACTGTTAAACTGTTGAACTTGAAAATTTTAAAATAGTTACAGCTAATTTGCCCCCTACTACGACAAAAATAATAATAATAATTGAGATATGTATTTAAAAAAAGCATTTTTGATGTATCTCGATCAAGTTGAGATTATATGACTTTTCATTGGGATGTTATGAATATAATTTCCGTATCCATTGTCAGATAAATCCACACATCCCAAATAACTGTTACATTTGAAGGCTAGTTATTTATGGTCTTGTAAATACTTTTATACTCAACTCAACTTTCCACAAAAAAACACTCAAATACTGTGCCACTTGGAGGTACACAGGAAGCACGCTATCATAGTGAAACTCACAGGAAAAATGGATGCCGGAAAACGGGTCGGCTCAGGTCGGCGTGCCATTATGCCATTGGTCGCTCGGGGTTACACGCCGTAGCCGAAAATATTTAATGAATATTTTCTAAATAATGGAGATTTAATATTTTCTATTGATTGAAAAGTAAATATTTAATGAATATTATAAAAGAAATATATATTCAGGGTGGCCAAACACGTGACGTCATAAAAAAAAATTAGATTCCCCACATCGAGAGGAACCCAAATCACCCCCATATATATGGTCCGATTTTGTTTAGTTTAGGAGTTATGATTTTTTTTCGGATTTTTCGAGAATTTTTGAGTTCTGTGTTTATTTTTACCATAACTTCGTTAATAATTGTGATAAATGCCTGCTTTTTTCACGATTATGTAGCTAAGACCTAAGGCTTAACTACCATATAATCATTCAAGTCATGTAACTAATACTACTTTTAATTTTTTTTCAAAATCTTCGAACATAACAAAAAAGTAAAAAAGTGCAACAACTTTGAACGTTTATAAAAAATTGAAAAAACATGTTCTTACTATTCGTAAGTATCTTAAAAACCTCCTTACGGTATCAGCTATTTACTGTAAAAATTTCATCAACCTAGCTTTACTACATGCTACCGTAATTGTGGCTCAAATAGAACCGAACCCAAAATTGGATAACCCTCTGCTCAATAGAAATTGTTAGTTTCGGAAAAAAAATTTGCAAAAACCACAAAAACACGTTTGATTTTTACTGAACAGCAGATTATTATTCATTTATGTTATTTACAAGAGGTTTTCAAAATGTCTGCCTCTAACAGAAATGCACAGTGTACACCTACGTATGAAATTTTGTTTTAAATCTCTAAATGCTTGTGTGTTGTTTTTCAACACATGTGTCGCTTCTTGAATTTTGTTCCTCAATGAATTTTCATTTGCACATTCTTGGGCGAATGTTATGTCTTTAAAATATCCCCAAACAAAAAAATCAATGGGGTTGAGGTCAGGGGAGCGTGGAGGCCATCGTATCGGTCCGTTTCGTCCGATCCATCTGTCTGGGAACCTTTCGTTTAAGTAGTTTCGCACGATCGTTGCGTTGTGGCATGGTGCACCATCATTCTGGAACACCATGTTCCGTCTGGCTTCCAGGCTTGAATCTTCCAGCAATAATGGTAGGCTATTTTCAAGGAAGCTTTTGTAGGCTACCGAATCCAACCTTGACGGCAGTTCAAATGGACCGATAAATTCCATATTGAATATTCCTGACCACATGTTCACACTAAAACCGTGTTGAAATGTCGACGGCCTTGACTAGTGGGGGTTTTCAACAGCCCAAGTATGTAAATTATGGATATTGAATATCCCTGTTCTTTCAAAACGTGACTGGTCAGCCCATAAAATTTTATCAAAAAAATCGGGATCCTCTCGTTGTCTTCGCAGCATTGTCTCGCAGAAATCCACTCTTAACTGGTAATCTGAAGGCATCAACGCTTGAACTCTTTGAACATGATAGGCATGATAACCTTCTTCATGAAGAATATTTTGTATCGATGTTCGTGGTATTCTAAGGTTTTGTGCCATAGATCTCGTACTCGTTGAGGGATTCCGGCTAATTTCTCTGCTTTGCATACTGATTTGGACTTTGTTTGCTAAGAAGTTTGTGATGCATTATACGTTGCGTGAATATGCAGAAATGCATTATTATTATGGCGTTGCTCAAGGCAACGGCGCTTTAGCAGCTCAGCTGTACCGGGAACAACTTATACGCCGAGGCGGACCACAACCTGAGCATTACCCAGACCACCGTGTTTTTATTAACACACATAACACTTTCATGGCAGGCCGCATTCCAGGACGAGGAAGCAATGAAGGATATCCTACAGCTGATCCGGATCGCAGAGAAGTAGTACTTGAAGAAATTAACCGGAATCCCTCAACGAGTACGAAATCTATGGCACAAAACCTTAGAATACCACGAACATCGATACAAAATATTCTTCATGAAGAAGGTTATCATGCCTATCATGTTCAAAGAGTTCAAGCGTTGATGCCTTCAGATTACCAGTTAAGAGTGGATTTCTGCGAGACAATGCTGCGAAGACAACGAGAGGATCCCGATTTTTTTGATAAAATTTTATGGACTGACGAGTCACGTTTTGAAAGAACAGGGATATTCAATATCCATAATTTACATACTTGGGCTGTTGAAAACCCCCACCTGTCAAGGCGGTCGACATTTCAACACCGTTTTAGTGTGAACATGTGGTCAGGAATATTCAATATGGAATTTATCGGTCCATTTGAACTGCCGTCAAGGTTGGATTCGGTAGCCTACAAAAGCTTCCTTGAAAATAGCCTACCATTATTGCTGGAAGATTCAAGCCTGGAAGCCAGACGGAACATGGTGTTCCAGAATGATGCCACAACGCAACGATCGTGCGAAACTACTTAAACGAAAGGTTCCCAGACAGATGGATCGGACGAAACGGACCGATACGATGGCCTCCACGCTCCCCTGACCTCAACCCCATTGATTTTTTTGTTTGGGGATATTTTAAAGGCATAACATTCGCCCAAGAATGTGCAAATGAAAATTCATTGAGGAACAAAATTCAAGAAGCGACACATGTGTTGAAAAACAACACACAAGCATTTAGAGATTTAAAACAAAATTTCATACGTAGGTGTACACTGTGCATTTCTGTTAGAGGCAGACATTTTGAAAACCTCTTGTAAATAACATAAATGAATAATAATCTGCTGTTCAGTAAAAATCAAACGTGTTTTTGTGGTTTTTGCAATTTTTTTTTAGGAACTAACAATTTCTATTGAGCAGAGGGTTATCCAATTTTGGGTTCGGTTCTATTTGAGCCACAATTACGGTAGCATGTAGTAAAGCTAGGTTGATGAAATTTTTACGGTAAATAGCTGATACCGTAAGGAAGTTTTTAAGATACTTACGAATAGTAAGAACATGTTTTTTCAATTTTTTATAAACGTTCAAAGTTGTTGCACTTTTTTACTTTTTTGTTATGTTCGAAGATTTTGAAAAAAATTAAAAAGTAGTATTAGTTACATGACTTGAATGATTATATGATAGTTAAGCCTTAGGTCTTAGCTACATAATCGTGAAAAAAGCAGGCATTTATCACAATTATTAACGAAGTTATGGTAAAAATAAACACAGAACTCAAAAATTCTCGAAAAATCCGAAAAAAAATCATAACTCCTAAACTAAACAAAATCGGACCATATATATGGGGGTGATTTGGGTTCCTCTCGATGTGGGGAATCTAATTTTTTTTTATGACGTCACGTGTTTGGCCACCCTGTATATATAAATATTATATTCCAAATATTTATTAAATATTTGTTTAAGAAAACAAATATTTAAGTACGATAAAAATATTATTAAGTATTTAATGAATATTTCGTGCTATCGGGGATGTAAAGATAGTAAGGAAAATGTAGAGCAGAAAAAACTAGAATCTGGATCTGTTTGCGGCCTGGACAAATGAGAGATCTTCCTATAGTTTTTTGGCGTTTAGCCCTCATATAAATGAATCCTCATGATTTCAATATGTTTTCTCGTAAACGAATTTACTGCTTGTTATAATCCTTATTTATCTCTTCCAAGGAAAAATATTTTTTTAAGAAATGTTTATAATGTTTGAAATGCATGAAATCCAAGGCATTTTGAGAACCTTTAATCCAAAGGGCCAGTAATATACTATGTACTTACAATTTTTTTTTTTAGTACTGGAACTCTAAAACGGCATAACTCGTACAAATCTAGAGGTTCCGTTGAGTCAATGAGTGGTCGCAGCGGAAATTCTACGCCTCTCTGTGGCACGCCAATTCGAGAAAGGGCTTCGCCATTTGGTGAAAGAAATAGTCCATTCAGTGAAAAACCCTCGAACGATGATGTCTTGAGGAATTCTGTATCGTCGCCAACGAATATGGATTCAATGCCTTCTTGTATGGTGAGTTAATTTCATTAAATTGTAAATTAAGTGATGACACTGGCAATGTAGCGTTCGATCTGGCAACACTGGAGGCGCCGGGCTTGGAGGGGAGACAGAAGAACATGTGATCTGCCTTCAGTACCAATTTGAACTCACTCGAGACATTTGGTTGTCCGTAGCGGTTTTTTCTGTGAAACAGTTTTTTCCATTATCTTCTAAAAATGGGTGACATCAATTTTGAGCAACCGTGTGCTATCACGTTTTGCTTCAGACTTGGGCACAGTGCAATGGAAATTCTTGCTAAACAGGCATACGAAGATAGATGTTTAGGGCATTTTCAGAAGGGAGAGAGTCAATTGAAAATGAACCACGAAGCGGAAGGGATTCATCTTCAAGAACCCATCAAGATATCAACAGAATCTGGAATCTTGTGCGTTCAGATCGTCGGTTGACATTAGAGTGATCGGAGAAGAGTTAAATTTGACTCAACCGCCGTTCATCAGATCTTGACCAGTGAATTGGGGATGAGAAGATCTGCCCAAAAATGGTTCCAAAAAAACCTTTCGGAAGACCAAACGGACATCAGGAGGGAAAGGTGCCTTGACTTTTTGGGTTCAGTTGATGACCCCCATTTTCTGTAACGTGTCATTACTGGTGACGAGTCTTGGGTGTTTGAGTACCACCCAGAAATCAAGCGGCATAGCATGAAGTGGCACACTTCCACCTCTTCAAGGTCCAAAAAAGCAATAAAGATGAAGTCGAAGATCAAATGCATGCTGATTTTTTTCGAAATCGGAATTGTTCTCAAAGAGTTTCTCCCTAAATGTTCAATCAACACTTCTACCAGGAGGTTCTTGAAAAACGAAAAAGAATCATTCGTGTGAAATCAAACATTTAGAACTGGTTACTGCATCACTATAATACTCCTTGTCACACAGCAATGTCAATGAACGAATTTTGAGCCAGTAAAACATTCCTGTGGCTCCTCAGCCTCCATATTCTCCTGACTTGAGTCCTTGTGACTTTTTCTCTTCCTAAAGTTGAAAAATAAGCTCAAGTGGGAGGGGGGAAAACATTCAAACTGCCGTTACCTATCAATTGATGGCTGTCACAGTGTCGGAGTTCCAGCACAGCTCTGAGGAATTGAAGAATCGTCTCCAGCACTGTGTGGCTTTAAAAGGAAGTTATTTTGAGGGTAGCAATATGAAAATGTATGACTTGAATAACAAAAATTATTCTCGTTGCTTCATTTACAGACCTCGTATGTTGCAATGCAGAACATGGAGTTGGCTTTCTAATTCATTTAATAATGATTCTGCATTAACTTTGCACATCTATTTTTTCAACAGTTTGTTTGGAGGATTATTTTTAATACTTCTCATCTGATTGTTTCATAGTGTGTATAGATATGACAGGAAAACAATGTTATCAATATGTTTTTTTTTGTAAAAGATGCATTTTTGTGTATTTTTTATTCGTAATTTTGTTGGTTTTTAGAAAGTCTCTTAATCTAATTTTGACTATTTTTTATTATTTTTGCTATAACAGTAATTAAACTTATGAGTCTACAATTTTCTGGTAAATCGCTTGGACCTCGTTCATAAACAGGAATAACTATTGATGTTTGAAAAAAAAACTTTTATGAGCGTATTAGGAACACCAAGTGAAAGATTGATGCTTTTTTATTTTTTATTGATCTTAATACTAATTGCAATTCATAAATGTCAGTAGGTTAAAGTAAAAATTTGTGATCTATATTTATATGGTTTAGATTTGTTCAAGGATTATAAGTACTTAGCTTGTCATGCGCAGAAAAATGAATCGGAATCAGTTCGGAACTACTTGTTGGAACAAACCTTATTAATCCTTATTGCACCACTTGAGACGAGTTGTAAATTTAACCGTTTTACACTGTTTTCTTAAGTTGTATACAAATTGTAGGTTAACATAGACTCATCTGTATACACTATTTTAACTCAAGGCGGTGCAAACCACCATTTATGATTAAAAAATGGTAATTCCACGTGAAATTGATTTGCTTTTTATTACATTGCAGATGGATTCAATAACCTCCCTACCCCCACCCCCGGAAGTGAACGGAGACATTATCCTGCCAACCACGGCCGGATATCAACTTCCCCCTCCTCCCTCCGAAGTATACGACTCGAATCTGTCCCTAGACAGTCTGCCCCCACCGCCCGCTCCTGGCGAATTACCACCCGTTTCGGGCAGCGATCTGACGGGCAGCCAGTTGTCACTGATGTCGTTGCCACCACCACCGCCTCCACATGAGTACCAAGAAGATATGAATGGAACTATTAAAAGGTACATAAGAATATGTTTGAAAGCTCATAGATCAAAGTAATATGTTAAATACAGAGGGTCATAGAAGTCGACGTCAAACCGGAAATGGGGGATACGTCAAGTCATAATGGTTATCAGAATATAAAAAAAGTCTAAGTCGTGTAACTTTCCTTTCATTGCTGCTGAAGGAAGGCAGTTTAAACATCTATTGTGAATTTAATAAATACATTCACCAATTAATAAAAGTGACGTTACTATCTGTCTTGCTGTCACTAGGTAGAATGACTGTCCGTCACGCCGTCTAAGAAAACATTGAAATTTATACTAATGGGAACTAAAAGATCATCACACGATGTAGATTTTTCCGATTTTTTTTTAAAGCCTACAATTATATAAGTACGCGACTTATATTTCTTTATATTCTTCTGATAACTATTAGGGCTCTGTATTTGGAAAGTCAAGTTCCAGGAATGATGTATGATATCTACATAGCCGTGCAGATGCGGTGGAAGCTCAGTATAATTTCAGATATTTGTCTCTTTCACTTTTAACTGTCTCTTTATTTACAGGGATGAAGAGTTTGTATTTCATTCTTTACTGCATTGACTAATTCTGTTTTGATTGAGTTTAGAGCATTGAATCTAGAACCTGAATTGAATATGCCTACAAATATTATAAATGTTAATTTTCCCCCTAATTATGTCCTGTCTCATGCCAAAACTGATGAACTCATTTTGATGAATGTTACCCATAGATTACACCTTGGAGATGGACATAGGCTACCTTTTGTTGTGAAAATTAGACTTGAAGGAGTTGAAATAAAGAGCAAAAGCTACTATAGGGTAAATTTCATTTTTTAAAGCTAGGTATACAGCTATGGGTTTCATCTGCTGACTTCTTTGGTACACCTGAATGGGCACTTACAAATAATTTTTGTACATAGTCATGCCATAAGTTCTGTCCCTCGTTTTCAAACAAGTGTAGACCTGTTAATACTTGTCCGATTGTTTACATTGTGGTGTCAGTTGATTAAGCGCTTTTCGGGTAATTACATATACCTCAGTTTGTATTGATCTCTCGAAGCATAACGATGGAGTGGGGCAAGGCAGAGAACCGTATTGCAGTGATAGCTTTACATAAGTGTAATCACAGTGCTAGTCAGATTTTTGAACTCTTACGCGGCCTTCAAATATCGCGTAAATTTGTGTCTAGGACCATTCAGCGGTACAATGAGACGTCCTCTGTTGATGACAGGCCAAGAAGCGGAAGACCTCGTCAAGTAAGGACTCCAGCAGCCATCAAAGCCGTAAAAGCCAGGATTCAAAGGAATCCACTCCGAAAGCAGAAGATCCTATCCAGGGAAATGAAGATTCCTGTCCGGACGATGTCGCGCATCATTAAACAAGACCTAGGGCTAGGGGCTTACCGGAGACGTACGGGCCAGCGACTTACGGCCACCTTGCGACACATCAGGGCGACAAGATCCAAGAAGCTCTTGGAGAGGTACGCAGCTGGGGGATTCCGAAAGATTTTGTTCACGGATGAGAAAATCTTCACCATAGAAGAAAAATTCAACCGACAAAATGACAAAGTGTATGCAAGGAGTTCACAGGAAGCTTCGGAGATCATTCCGAGAGTTGAGAGAGGCCACCACCCTGCGTCAGTCATGGTTTGGTGGGGGGTGTCCTACGAAGGGGTCACTCAGCTCCATTTCTGTAAACAGGGCGTGAAAACAAAAGCGGCAAACTATCAGAGCGACATACTGGATCCTATCGTCAAGCCTTTAAGTGGTACATTGTTTGCCAACCAACACTGGGTCTACCAGCAGGATTCCGCCCCCGCTCACAAGGCTAAGAGTACGCAGCGCTGGCTGGAAAGCAATGTGCCAGAGTTCATTGCTGCGGAAGATTGGCCCTCAGGGAGTCCGGACCTCAATCCTTTAGACTACAAGTTGTGGGACCTGCTAGAGCAGTTGGCCTGCTCCAAAGCCCACCGTAATATCGAGTCCCTGAAAGCGGATTTGATCCGATCAGCGGCAGCCATTCCTTTGGAAGCTGTGCGTGCAGTGATAGATGAGTGGCCCGCGAGATTGAAGCAGTGTGTGAAGGCCAAGGGGGGACATTTTGAATAAAACTGTTTGATTATGAATTCTAAAAATGTTGTCGAATAAATAATATCTTTCATATAAATATATCTTATCTTGTTTCATTTTTATCATGAGATTATCATGGGACAGAACTTATGGCACGACTACGTAAATTCCACCCCTAAGGCGCTAAAGTTGGAATTCACTTCTCAAGTTTTTGTAGAGAATTTAGAATATTTCAAATTAATCCATCCTAAAAGTAGGAGTATATTTTGTCTTCAATTTCATCTTAATTATTATTAGACAGTTCAGAAATTTTATCCTCAAGATGGGATAAGAGGGGCTTGAATATTTCTATGGGGAACCTTATCACTTTTCAAGTTTGTAGAAATTCATCTCTGAATTCTATTTGACCTTTCAACAAGAAATTTGGCAGAGAGGTAGTTTATAGACAGGAAATTTCAGCTGGTTCAATGGGGGTTATGAGCCTATATACATAACAAAAAATATGAAAATAATGGGCAAAATCCGCAAAAAGAAGGAAAGTGGGTTCGAGCAGAAAATAGGATAGGTAACCCGAGCAATACGTATTTCTGCTTGTTGGCTTCATCAGGCCCGAAATAAATGCACACATGCAACCGCAAAAGTAGATACACATGCCCATACATCCGGATACGGGTGTAACCTGAGGAAACGAAGATGGAGAGGGAAAACAGTGACACACGAAGTCCCCAACACGAGCCAACCTACACAATGTAGTATAATGGACAAACCTCGTATATATACAGTGCTTTTCTTTAATGTCCCCGTCCCCTTTGATTTTTTGAACGGATCAATTCAAAAAATTAAAACTTGAGGTAATGAAATTGATGCGTGGATACCATATTTTAGAGTAAAATTGACAGATGAAAATGTCAAGATGACCGCTGGGTGCCATCTTGGAAAAAAAATCTTATGATTGAACGGGGGACTTGTGGCACATCATTTTGAAGCTCCTGACGAGTACTTTATAACTCTAGAATATAAAGTCAATACCTTTACCTACTACAAAATGGTGGTACATTTAATAATTACTTGAACACAAACCCACTAACATGCATATCTCCTCAAATAATTGTAATTCCCTGCCGTATCCACAGCAACAGCGAGAAAAACTTGTTTTGTTATTTTTTGTTGACAGTCAAGGATATCAGTACGAAAACAAACATCATTGGACAGTTAAAATATTCTTATATAGTTTTCGGTTTTAGTGCTAGATACTGTTTGAACTATTTTTAAAATTCTCAATTCTCGTCCATTGGAAGAAAAAATGGAAGCGATTTCCTTTATGGTGCGACGCGTTTTGGATATGCTGGAAAATACTATTGACCTCCTAATCACCGAAATCGTCGAAGCGAATCCTAATGAATTCGATACTGATATTGTATTCCAGCAAGATGGTGCTCCACCACACTACTATAGACAAGTTAGGCATTGTTTAGATAACAATTTCCCCGGTCGTTGGATTGGCCGTCGTGGTCCTGTGGAATGGCCAGCTCGCTCGCCAGATTTGACACCTTTAGACTTTTTTATGGGGCTATTTGAAGCAAAAGGTGTACGAAACTGAACTTGCTTCAATATTGGCTGGGAATAACAAATATTTGTAGAAATATCTATGTTACTATGTTTGAAAATGTTCGACGCGAAATTGCGGACCGTATGTTATTGTGTCAAGAAGTTCAAGGCAACCATTTCCAGCATCTTCTAAACTGAACTCAACGTATTTATTCGAATTATCAAGTTAAATGTCAATGTATTCAGGTAATTATTAAATGTACCACCATTTTGTAGTAGGTAAAGGTATTGACTTTCTATTCTAGGGTTATAAAGTACTCATCATTAGCTTCAAAATGATGTGTCACAAGACCCTCGTTTTCATATAACTTTTTTTCCAAGATGGCGCCCAGCGGCCATCTTGATATTTTCATCCATCAATTTTACTCTAAAATATGGTATCCACGCAGCAATTTCATTACCTCAAGTTTTAACTTTTTGAATTGATCCGTTCAAAAGATCAAAGGGGAGGGGGACATTAAAGAAAAGCACTGTATATATATATATACATATATATATACGAGGTTTGCCCGGAAACTACGTATAAAAGATTCGGGCTTCGGGGTGGCCGGTGGTTCCCTCTCTCTGTGCAATCCCCGCTATGCTCAGTTCGAGCCGGAGCGTTCTGCTTGTTAACCGTGAAAGTGACTATAACCGGCCGCGTAGTTGTGGTTAGATGTCGCGTTGAAAACTCGAGGTCTTCTGGCCATTATACTACAAAAGTGTAGGTTGGCCTTTGTTGGTGACTTCGTGTGCTGTTTTGTTCCTCTCCATCTTCGTTCCCTGAGGTTACACCCGTATCCGGATGAGTTTTCCTTTTTTGCGGACTTTGCCCAATATTTTTCTTTTTGTTATATACATTTTTCCACATGATCCTTTCTTTTTTCATTAGTTATGAAATCACGAAAACTGTTTAACCTGATTCGCAGAAGGATAGTTTATGCACAAAACATATCAGCTAAGAACAGATTTTATATATATATATATATATATATAGAAGTACAATTGACACTTTTTATGAATAATTGTTGACATACATTGGGTGGTATGAATAAAAATGAAGTACCTTCTAATACTACAAGTATTAGCATTTTCTACAAAGTATGTACTTCAAATCTGAGAAGAAGCTACATTTTCAAGTAGATACTTTTTGTTTTACCGGAACTTACTATATCAAGTAGTATTTACTGAAAGTACCTACTTCTTGTAGTAGATGCTACTAATTTGAAGAGGAATTTAGTATATGCTTGACTTTTGGGAAGTTGGTATAAGTGCAACTTCAGAGAGAATACTACGGTTAGTTTTGTTTAGTTTTCTTTGAAAATGGAAGGAATACGCAGCAGAAAAATATATAATGCAAGACGCCGCTATCATAATGATATTTTATATCATAAAATATTTCGGTAATTTAACAATAATATTATTATTGTTTTTAATTACTTTTAAAATTGTTTATTCTTTTAGGTTTAGTAGAGAAAACGTATCTTACCTAGCGAATATATTTCTCCCAGAAGTAAATGAAACTCGAGGCGGTGCTCTTACACACATCCAACAAATGGAAGTATTTTTAAGAAGCTTAGGTATGTTTCAATAAATGAAATAGGATAAATAATCTAATTTTTATATCTTTATTTCAGGAGACCCTGGATTTCAGCTAGGCGTTGGACTTGATGTTGGGATTCATCAAACAACCGTTTCAAAAATTATTGATAAGGTATCACGTGAAATCTGTAGCAAGAAAAATCAGTGGGTTAAATTCCCTGCTACGGGAGCTATGTTCAACAGAGCTAAAGATGAATGGGCAGCACATAATACAATACCTCATGTCATTGGCGCCATTGACTGCACTCACGTGAAAATTATAAAACCATATGTACATGGCGATGAATATATTAACAGAAAAGGAGTTTCTACAATAAATGTACAAGCAACATGTAAAAACAGAGAAATGTTTACCAGTGTTGATGCTTCCTGGCCTGGGTCTGTTCATGATTCTAGAATATGGTACAATAGTCCTATTTACCCTATTATGTATAATAATCAAAAAAGAGTTTGTCTTTTGGGTGATTCTGGATATGGTGTAACTCCTTGGATGCTTACACCTTTCAAAGATCCCATAACAAACATTCAAAAGTATTTTAACAGAATACATGCAAGAGAACCTGTGATTATAGAAAGATGCTTTGGCCAGTTAAAAACAAGATTTCCTATGTTGAATTATACAATCCGACTTAAAACAGATAGAACATGTCGATATATTATGTGTGCATTTATTTTACATAATTGTGCAAAGTTTTTGAACGATCCAGATGAACATTGTGATGAAATGAACATAGAAGAAAAAGCAGTTATGCCTGAATTACTCGTATATGCCGAACCAAACAACGGTGAAGTCCGACGCCGAGGTATCCAGTTTAGAAATGAAATTGCAACACTAAAGTACAGACAGCGTTGAAAAAGTAAATAAATATTTGGATTGTTTGGATTTTATACATATTTATTTTATGAAGGTTCTGACAAAATAATTAAACCTAATAAACATGTTATACAAATAATAAACATAAACCTTATTTCTCTTTTAACAAAAAAAAACATATTAATCAGTAGGTATTTTTGAATCCAAATGAATTCAAAAGCTCGCCTGTTGTCGTGCAAAGTAATCTTCTACGAATTGCTCTACAGCTCCTGCGGCCCTTTCGACAGCTAGAGCGGCCTTTTCTTGAGCTATAGCAGCTTTTTCTTGAGCTGCGGCAGTATTGATTTGTTGAAGTAGTAATTTCTTTCGTAATTTAGCCATTAATTCTTTATCATCACAAAAAGGTATTTGATTCTCTTCATCGGTCAATGATATATCAACGTCTTGACTGGTGCCCGCAGTTACACCTCCTAAAACATTATTAAATTAAAAATTTTGCACCACAATGGTATTATGATTTTATATGGAGGAAAAGTGATTTTATGACGAGCCTGAATTAGACAGCCATGAAAATTAACTTTTCCTCCAAGTAAAATATGCTGTTTTTCTTCAAATGTCAAGAAATTAATCGCGGAAAAGTAAAAAGTGAAGCTCCGGCTGATGAAAAATAAAACTTCGTGGCCGCATACAAGTCAAGCAATAAATGATTTACTGACGTTTGAAGAAAAAATATATAATATCAAATAATACAGTACCTGGCACTTGTTGAATTACTGGATTCTCACTCCCATTCCATAGGTTGAAAAATTTTTTTTGCCACTCATTTAACTTAATTTTCCTATTTCCTGTTTTCTTCATATCGGTAATATTTTTAATTTTACTTTTCATATTATTAACTTTTTTTAATACCTGTTTTGCATCTAAATTTTGTTTTGTATTTCTGTTATACGTCTCTGTGAATTCTTTAAGTGCTTTGTCTTTGGCAGACTTAACGGGAGGTGTCATTTTTTTATCCAGAATAATTTTGTAGTCTTCTAACATCGTAACAAAGGCTAACTGCAAATCTTCATTTTGGGACTCTTCTTGATTTGGCATTTCCTCGTCGGAAGACATTTTAACGCGCGTGCCGTACAATACCAAGTATGTGAATATTTCAAATAAAATAAAACAACAAGTGTGACCTGTCGAAACTTGTGGAAATGAGAAGATGCTACTCAATTTAAAGCATTTACTTCGGAATAAAAGTAGATACTACAGGCACGATAGTAAGTACTTCGACGTAAAGCAAATACTACCGGAACTGATTGGATACTTCATGGCGAAGTATTTACTTTGAAGTAGATTCTTAAAATTGTAGTATAAGCATCTACTTCGTTTTTATTCATACCTCTCATTATGTGGTTTGATTCGGCTAGATGGAGGATTATCAGCATGAAAACTACAGGATACGTTTCATTTGGTTTGAATGTGTGAATCAAAGCTACCATGTAAAAAAGTTATATTGTCTTAGAAAATTATAAAAAGAGTATTAGAAAAGTAGTTAGGTGCACCACGTTATTTGAAAATACTGTTTTGACTAGAGAAACGTTTAGAAATAAAGTTGTACGTTGTAGTGCTCTAGAAATATCGTTATTTTAAATCACTATGTATATTAATTCGTCTTCAGTTTAGCTAATTATGTGAGTGGTTTATATTTACAGGCGGAAAGGCAGCATAACTCCAACGAACCCCTTGAGCCCTCAACGCTCTGTGACAGCCTGCTCTTCTCCAGACCGGACCCCAACGCAGTCTCGACTCAACACTCCAGTGCACAGTCCCCCACAATCTGTGTCCGGATCTTCTTGTAGCACTCCAGTGCAGCCTCATCCCCCACAACCGTCCGTTAATGGATGTTATGCTCAACAGCAGAGAACGCCTGGTCAAAACCACGATAGAAACGGAGAAGTCCCGATTCAGCCTCCGGCCTACGTAAATCCCCCGCTGTACAGACCGCAAAGTAGCACACTGCCAGCGAACACTAGCTTCAACCAAGGTAGGTAGAAACATGCTGAAGTTATCTGGGTAGCTTTAGTATCGAAACGACGCCAGTCCCAAGAGAATGTTTCACTTTGCTACGGATGTTGTGATTGTCAGTAGGAGGTTTCCCCGGCGGACTCTAAGGCGGGGCCAGAAGATGTGTAGATTGCATGCACATGTTCCCTCGCGAAAGTCCGTGTGTTGTTCCCCCCTTTCCCCTATATCTCCACATATCCCACAGTGTGGGTATTTATAAATCTTATGTACTATGGATGAAGTGTGCTACTTGGACACCAGTGATCCCAACAGAAGGAAAGAGAAGATTGTTTTACATGAACGTATCTCGTGAGAAATGTTTGTAAGACTACTTTTGGTAGAAAAGGTAGTTTGAATATTTGAGGTAAAATCCATTTGAAAAATTTCAACCTTCGATAATATCGATAAGTTAATTTTACATAGTGTTTTAGGAAAATAATCCTATCTCGCCATAACGTTTCAACAATGTTCATGCCTTGTCCTTATTCAACTTCATGATTGGCGCAGAAACGCCATGTTTGATGGAATATTTCAGTGCCTATGTTTATAGGAGCTAGTTTTGTTATTTTTGGATGTACTTTCTACCATAAAATTATTGGCACGTTTTCTGAGTCACCCTCTGTACAAGAGCTGAAGGTTCAGTGATCCCAAATTCGGATCAGTTTGGTTATCCGCAACTTACTCCGAAATTTGAATGATGGCAACCACACCTATACCTATAAACCGCGGTGAAACATAAAATTCGAAGCCAGATTTTATGGACGAAACAAATAAGTAGAAATACACACCTCAATTAATTGTGGAACTATTTTTTATTTTATTCTCCATAAGAAATTGAATGTGGAAGAATTTTTCTGAGAGTTGTCCGATTTCAAACAGTACGACTTTTGGAGAGTACTGTAACTATATATTTTAAAACAAATGCGTAAATATTCCTGGAGAATTATTGGATTTTTTCCTCCTAATAAGAATGGACTTTGTGACACTGCGAAACAAAATGAAGACTGGACTGTTTTGAGAATTTTGTTCCACAGTGTGAAAGTCCTAAGAGTTATGTTAAAGGCTGTCTGTAGATTACCTTTAATTCATACATCAAGCCATTTCCTTCTTTAAACAAATTTCCAATCTGCTATATTAATGAAAACTCTTAGTAAGACTTAAGCAATGTTATGATGTGCTGTTATGCAGAAGTAATTTTGTCGTCTTGTCATTTAACTTTACCCACTCACAAACTTTCATTTTGCAGTTGGAGCTCTGCGGTCCTCATTGAGGCAAGTGACGTTACCCAGACAGATATCGTCGACGAGTATAGCATCATCAACAAACAGTTCTGCTTCCTCAGGAAATACGTCCATCAATAGCTACAGCACTGAGCATAGCCTACAAAAAAAGGTACGACATTTTTTGTAAACTTGTTAATATTATATGACCATGGATTGTCGGTTTGCCTTCTCTTTGATCAGATGAACTAATTTATAAATTTAATCTAAAATGAGTCAATCAGAATTGTGAAGAATGATATGTCTGGCAGAAGAAGACAATCTGAATGTGAATTATTTCGGTGATGATAAGTTTTTATGTATTGTGATATTTAGGAGCCTACAAGTCCGAAATCAAAGTCTGGAAAGAAGATTAGCTTCAACTTGACTCCACAAGAGGTTCCTCCATTGCCCAAAAAACCTCCTCCACCAAAAAGGGCTGAAACCACAAAGCTAAGCAGTCCCAAAAAATTGGCTGATCCACCTACTGACTTTCTGAAGGACCTTCAGAGAGTTATGAGGAAAAAGTGGCAGGTAAATTATGGAAAAATACTTCTGCTTTTTTTTCAAAAAAAGTTTTTATGTCTCCGTAAAATTTTGCTTAAAGCATTTTTTGATTTTCTCTACAATTTGTAACTATGATTCTAGCTATAGAAGTGAAATCAAGTAGACTCACTATACCTCTGATACACAAATAAGTCAATTTTCAAATTGCATGTACATACATATCACAGACATCCTGAAAGTTTCTCGTGAATTAGATCGCATCCACCTATTCTAAAAATCAAATCACAAGCACTATTTTTTATAAATCACACTGTATCCACCATTTTTGAGACTCACACCTCCGCTATTATTTCCAATCATGATGTCGAAAACAAAATTTAGAACTCATACAATATTTTTTGAAAGTCAGAATGCATCCACCACTTTTTGTTGTAGATGATAATATGCAGATACAGATAACATGAACTTTCGTTACATTGTGCTTGAACCAAGTAACACATTTCAACCAGTCTCAATCGGAAAAATTCTTGCTTGATCACGTGAAGATGTTAGAATCTTCCAATAGGTCATCTATCATTCGGGTTGATTTTGTTCAAATGTGACTTTTCTTTGCTGTACTAGGGTGCTAAATAGCCATAACTATTGTGGGATGGTATAATTCAAGAGACAAAAATATAGATTGCTAAAATCTATGGATCGGCAATGTTGAACTTGAAAATGTTCAAATCTTTGTAGTTTATTTGTCCCCTACTCAGACAAAAATACCGCTATCAAGTTGTTTCAATAAAATCGATTAGTAAATAATGAGATATTAAAAAAATAACGTTTTTGATGTATTTCGATTAAGTTGTGATTGTGGTGACTTTTCATTGGGATGTTATGAATATAATTTTCCTATAAATTTTCAGATAAATCCACCAAGTCCTATAAAAAGTATGCTGGTCCTTTTGTATTAAATCACAAATAACTCTATCACACTTCAAAGGCTAGTTATTTATGGTCTTGCAAATACCTTCTATACTCAACTGGCACAATAATGTTTACTAGTCAGATAAATTAAGCTAAGTGATAAAAGCAAAACTTACCATTTTCCACACAAAAAAAAAAAACACTCAAACGTATTTTTTATGAGTTATAAGATGCAAAGGTGGATTCATGTTAATACGAAAAACCTCACTGGAGGGACATACCATATTTAGATAAGGCATGTTAGAGATTTGAAATTTAGCGAGAAACCTACCATCTGTTGTAAAGGGACTGATGTCATCCCCATGTCGAAGAATATACATATGTGCAATATGAATCCTATAAATATAAATAATATAAATTAATATGGACAATTATGTCTTTACACTTGCTTAGTTACACCAGCTGCAGAAAATTATTATAGTGTTCTCATGGATATAAATTGAGCACTTTTTACTTAAATAAATTCATTAAATATTTTGAAATAAGTGGCATTTTCCAATAAATAAAAAATAAATACATATGTATTCTATACTATGAAAAAATATTAGATACATAAAAAATATTCATTGTATATTTGTCAAATACATAATGGAGTTATATTTCCCATTCAATGAAAAGTAAATATTTGACGAATATTATAAACGAAATATTGTATTTACAATATATAAAGTATATTGATTAAATATTTATTAAATATTTGTTTAAGATAACAAATATTTGAATAAGATGAAAATATAATTAAACATTGAATAAATATTTGATGAATATTTCGTGCTATCGGGGATGTTAACCTCATTTGACATTTACCTCATACAAATCATCAGCTTGAATGTCATATGATGCCTTTATCTTATGTGTAAGCAATGAATAACAAAAATATATTACTACTGTATACATTCAAAATATATACTTCTTAGGAAATACGAGGAGGGGATAGGGGACGTAGGATAAAACCTTGTTACAAAGTATTATTATCGTTACGAGATACGGCACACAGGTCGCTTGAATTTTGCAGGTTGGATTTGATATTGCTGGCTTGGATGGCCGATTTCATTTTCTGCTTTGGTCAAAATCAGCTCCACTGATTTGTCTTCCTCGGTGTTTTTAAAAAAAATCTTATGCGCCTGTTCCAGGCGTGTTGTCACACTGCGTTTTTGTAACATCTCCCAAAGCATGTCTGGGTTGCAGTAGGGAAACTGCCCAGCTCTTTTATACGTCTTCTTAAAGCACTTCTCTAATTTAAGAATGCTACTTTTACTTTTACGTGGGAACACAGCAGTAAGTCCGTATGTTAGTACCAGGTAGATTCATGCTTCAATTATTTTCAATTTCACCTATATAAAAAGATTCGAGCCGAAGCCAATGATTGGAGACAGTGCGTAGGCTGCTCGCTAAGCCTTAAGGATACTTTCTTTAATGAGGCTATCCGTGTTTACTGTTTAATTGAGATTGAGCCAAAGGTATCGGGGGTTACGACTCTTCGCTCTCGATTCCCGCCAAACTTAATCTGTTTAGGGTAGGTTCGTGATCGTCTTTTATACAATATACTCGGTTTTCTGCTTATTTCAAGCAGGCCCCCACCGATCGTAGTCTTCAAATATTTCTTCTCCGTAGTGTTGGTGGTATTTTTTGTTTGGCATCATTGTTTTTGCCGCGTATTTGTCGGATTAGCAAATAGTTTTCTATAATGTCCGTTTGTTGTAACTTATAAATAAGAGTGGAGAGAATAAGATAAAAAAAATATGAGAGCTAGCGTTTCCATATGTGGTATTTGTGAATGCCTAATATGCTTTGTGGAAGGCAATCTGCTCGTTGATTACATGTTCACCTCCAATTGTACATTTTAAAATTGCAAAAGGTATCAAATTCATAAATTATCCAAATGACTTTTTCAGGTAGCTCAAAAATGCAAATTGGAACCAGAAACTACTCCGCACGAAGTGCTAGGGTTCCGCGACCCACCCGCTCTGCTACCCGACTACAAAGAGCACAACGTGTCCAACTGGGTGAAAGAACACTACGGTACCAACAACCTATACGAGAACGTGTACAGAGACGAGGACTGTCCCCCCTCTACTCCTCAACAGCAACAAAAGCAGAAACGACCGCCTCCACCTCCTCCAAAACGTAGCGAGACTACGCAACTCAGCAAATGTCAACAGGCGCAGCACTGATGCTGCATGATATGTTGAAGAAATTGAGCTATTGTTCGAGAGATAGCGCCCTTCATTTTGTAAGGCTGATAAATGATAGGTAGAACATAGGGCTGGTTGTTCTATAACCTCGAGAAGCAAATTATCATACATACCGATACTGGCGATACGATTTTATTTATCTAAGCTAAAAACGTACGTATTGCAATATGGGACCTTCACACTTTTTTTTAAATGTCCCTGACACTAGTAAATTGAAATATCGTGGCATGTTCATTTTATTGTATGCTTTGCAAATTAAAAAAGAAAAGGAATCAAGTTTTTGAGTTTAAATACGCTGACTTTATGTTTTGTTGTGTTTTATATCCTATTTATGAATTGGCACTTTTCTGATGTTTGACCTTAGTTTCCTCAAACGCCAGTCTATAGTGCAAGTATCCATTGCGGTAGAATGACAGCTGATTATTTAGTAATATTTCAAAGTTCCCCATATTGGCAAAGGGCACATAATTCTGAAGGATCCGTCAATGCCAGGTAGACAGAGCCATATTTTGTTTTAGTTTTTTTGTACGTTACAGTTTCATTTTGTACTTGCTAAAAGCTCTTTTATTTAGAAAAGTTCATTTGCATACAAAAACAAAACACTACAAACTGATTTTTCTAGATTTACATCCGATGCATTATTGCCAACGTTGCAGACCAACACAAAAATGTTACTTGCTGATCAGCTGATGTTCACCTCAGTAAACATCAAAACGCGATGGGTACTCGTGAAATATGGTATAACGTCAATTGCGGGCACTTTTTGAGACATTCATCCTATGTTTTATTTTCTTCAAATTTTTATATTCGATGTGCAGTTATTAAATATCACTAGTTTGCACAATGCGTCGTTGTGGATACAAACTTATGCTGTAGTTGCCTCGCTGATGATTGATGTCCTAGGTCCTTGCTTCACGCGTTGTCAACATTGCTGCATGGATAATAATGACGTAATGAAAAAAGGGAAATCCTGCGAAATATGTAGACGAAAGTAAACATTTCTTTCATTTAACGAAGTACACATGCATTTTTGCTATTCAGGGTAGTGTGCAATGCCTTTCTGTAACGATTTTTAATTTGCAAAGATATTTTTTTGTGAACAAACCCACTGACCGTGCAATACAACAAACAAAACTATTCCATAAAATTGATCTTACCCTTACAACGTTGTGTCCAGTTTTTCATTTTAGGAAACTAGTGACAAGCTTAAGCTTTGGACCCACCCAATTTATAGGAAATAAGGAATACAAAAGTATTGCTGACATATTCAGAAGACAAGCTACTTAATATGCATTTTTAAAACAAACCCCTGTTTTGGTGTGTTTTTTGCTAACAATTTTATCTTCATACATTTACAATTTTTATCATTCAAACGGCCGCCAGTATCACTGTAACACATTTAATTTGTCAGTGTCAGTTTCCATGTAGCTTAATAAACGCATGACATTCGTGCTAGAATGCAATTTATTACTGCCTAGTACATATATTTAACATCATAGCCTGATCCGGTGGCCTCAATATTATGAATACTGAAGGTTACTGCTACATAGCACTCAAAGATAATTAAAGCCTAACGTCAAAATATACGACAAGATTAGTAGAAACTATTCGTAAGGATTAATCTTTTCTAAACAAATCACACAGCTGTGTAATTTGTTTTCATAAACAAATAAAAGACTGACATGACCTTTGACCACAATTTAGGCCAATATAGGTAAATTGAGCGAGAAAGACTTGCAAGATGCATAATGTTAAAACAAATATACATAAGACAATTAAGATCCGTTGATCTATTAGTCTAAATTTAAAGTGCAAATTCTGTGGCTCTATGATATAACCTAACGAATTGTGACCAGGGTTAAATCAAAAGACAATTTTCTAAACATTTTTAACATAACCTTAGAAGCTTTTTGATACGATTTAGATAGTGGAACATCAACACTAATTGACATATATCAATACAACTCAGCTTTTGCAAAGTGCTTTTGTTTTCAAGATATACATTCACGATTAAAGCTATTACCATATTAATACAGAATAAATTGGTATTGATAGTTGGTATTGCATTGTATAAATGAACTACTGGCTACTATTCTAATATGAAACACGCAAACTGCTTTTAAACTCATTTAAACCTCTAAATAGTCAAAATATTTTTAGGCGCAGTGCACAAAGTTTGCGAAAAATGCATAACTGTAATTGCTGTAAATGGTCACGTTAAAGCATTCAGTATGGGAGGTCTTCATGTTGTTCGGATATCGAAATCTCAAAATTTTTTCGGTTCGAATAACGTTTGTTTACGTGCTAGCAGCGAAACGACAGACTATGGTAATAGTGAATGTAGAATCTGGAGGTATTTCAGACAAATGTCATTTTGAAAGTAGGATACTGAAATGTCTTTAGATATAGCTCCGGCAAAGCATTTTTAACCAAACTACCTACATAGTTTAATCAGCATACATTAACATACATTTGTATAATTAAGTGGCTAAATGCGCTGTGAATATAATATACAAATTTTGTATTGAAACACAAGCAGAGGATAATATTATTTCCATATGGTGTTATCCATTAATTTCTGGCAAAGGTTTGATCTAGGATTAATGGTTGAAGTGGGTTGAAACAAAAAAGCACTTGGGGATCAATCAGTGGTTTTTGATGAAAACACCCTCTTTTGGAGTTAGCCACCACTAACCATGCTACCAGAAGAAGTCTGTGCGTGGATGTGATGATAAAGTTTACAGCGTGCCATTTTTGAGTGATTTTACAACTTGTTACGTGGGACAGAAACATTGTACTTCGTCATTTATTTGTATATAAATAAAGTATAAAAACTCGTAGTTAATTATTTATAGAAATAAAATGTCAAACATAAATGGTGCTTTATATAGTTATTAAAAATGAACAAGGTATATAGCAAAATTTTCTATGCTAATATTTATTGAATGCCCTATGTTATTTGTAATCGCGAATTAATTTTTTTTATTATGTCAACTAATGCGCATGCAGTTTTAATAATATTCTTGAATACACCTTTGTTGGTAGTTAAATTCCGCATTTGCATAAACTTTGTAAGAAGTATTGTTGTTTTTAACCAGTAATATGAACTAATAATTTCCGTTTTATTATAATATAAAAATGGATCAATCAAGGAATGTCTTAAGTTATTATTGAATAAGTTAGGCATGGCTGAATATATTCATAAATAATCTACAGGAAATATACCTTGTTAACGATTTTGGAAATTTGTAATTACTTTTTAGAAGTTACAGGGTTTTGTATGTCAAGATAGTTGTTTCTATAAATGGACTTATCTTACTCTTATTGGATATTATAAAACGTGTATATATGCATCATCCTTGATATTGATTGTCGACATATCGACAAAGCGGTCTAAATGGTTGTGCAATAAGAATCGTTTTGTTTTTCCATATCTGATTATTAAATTATTTCACTGATTTTATTTTGATGTTTAATCTCCAAGCAGGGTGATCCATTCATGAGAAAACTGGACATAAATGTCAATATAAATATCGTTTACTCTCCCCACCGCACACACGCAAGCACCAAAAAATCATAAATTGGTTAAATGTGAATAAACTAAAATTAAATGCTTCTAAAACAAAAAGTATGCTAATAAGTAAATACTTACATGAAAATACTATCACAGTTAGGATAAATGCTGAAATAATTGAAAAATTTGAATCACTTAAATATTTGGGCATATATATTAAACATGTTGCTTTTATAGTGGTCTTAGTACGTATTAAAAAAAAATAGTGTGTAATTCAAATTCTACAGCAGTTACTATATTGCTCAACTATTGTTCACTGGCGATGAAGCTGTATTGTCAAAATTACAGGTCCTACAAAATAAAGTTTCGAGAGTAATATTGAATGAAAATAAGTACACCAAAATGAAATCTGTTACAAGAATTGCAATGGTTTATTTCATATCTTATTTGGTTCATATTTGCATTATTAAAATAAAAAAAATCATTTTTTTGCCACAACATTTAGAACATTACATAAAATTCAATAATTATTACCACAATTATTATACAAGAGAAAATGTAGATTTCCATTTACAAAACTGCAATAGTAATATAACTAGCAAATTAATATTTCAGAAGGGATTACTTGAATTCAATAAACAAAGTAATGATACCAAGTCTACTTGTAATTTAAAGCTGTTTAAAAGGAAGTTACAGTAACATTTCATGGACATTGGACATTCTTAGAGATAAAAGTTTTGTTTTTCTGAAGATTTGAATGTTACGTAATTGTTGTAGTTTTTTGAAAAAAATGTAATTGTAACAATCATGCTAAATACATCTTAAACAAACAAACAAATCTTCCATAATGAAATAAAGTAGTCAATTTAGTGAATGTAACCTGGTAATTCTGACGAGAAAATCAGTTTTATTTCAGTAACAATTCAATCAGTTTTGAAGTTGTGATATAATGCAAAAATTCTACCTGTTACATATTTTTTACCGCTACAGGGCTTGCTTTAAACCTCCAACTTGCTTGGTTTTGTGCGGCCGTATCCTTTAGGTTGCAAGATGGAAATGTGGGGAATATACATGGATATTGAATATCAGCTTAGAGCAGTTCTTGGATTACCCTGTACTAATCATGAGTTGTGTTTTTCATAAATTGCATTTTTGTTGCACTTCTGTTCGTCCTTTACGTGTTTTATCATGTTTTTGTTGTGCCATGGTAATATTCAATGGTAGAATACTGTATTGATTGGATTTTAAGTAAACGTTAACATTCATTGAACTTTATTATTGATCTCTTTAATGCCATTACAGATTTTCTATGTTTTGTACTATGGATTATAATTTTATTGAAACAAAAAAAAAACTAGTGAGTGTAGTCGATAGACATATATTCTATTCAAATGATTTTATTTATTGCTTGATAAAATTAGACATGGTTTTTGTAAATCTCTTAATTTATATTAGCTGTGTAGTGATGCGCTTCAATTTCACACTCTCTATTTTATTGAGAAAAATTACGTGTGCAATTCATGGCTATATAAATACGAGTATAAATGATTCGACAGGATGAGAAAGTAAATCTGAATTAGCATAATATACCACTTTTATACTTTTTAATATTTTTTATATCTTTTGTTATATACTGTATACCTTCTACTCTTTTTAAACACGATATATACCTAAATATTAGGGCTTGGCAAGTACAGGTTGTAGGAAAAATTTGAGATGGTTACGTGACTTATTGATTGGTATGTGATAGAAGGCACATTATTGTTTCTCAACTTTATTTGTCGAGTAATATGTATGTATATATAATTATGTAGGTTAAGGTGAAATAAAATGGATATAGGAAAATAAAAGCGAATGTAAACATGAACTGTGGTTTGATTCCAATATATTTGTTTTCAACTACTGTATCGCCTCAGTAGCTAATTCTGTGCCTTGAATGTTGTGATGTGTGATGCCTGCACTTCACTATCGGCGATTATCGTTGATCGTATGATCGTTCATAATAGGCACTATCATCGTGCAAGCAGACACAAGAGCGTTTTTAGTAGTTTGTCAAACGGCAAGCATCAGTATGACCCGGCGATTCCCTTTGATGCGTATCAAAAGAATCGACAATTCACGGGTCGAAGGCGATCATAGCCGATGAGTGGCGAGTACAGCTGAATATGCCCTCTAGCAGGATTGTGAAGAGGAACCATGATGTTTGTATCAGGCATATTCAGTGCTGCCGAACCGAAAAACACGAAAACGGTAGAAATTCGGTAAATTCAAGGACAAAATCGGTAGGAAAATGAAAAAAGTAATAATGCGGGTATACAGATTTTCCTTAAACAAATAATAACAAAAACTAGGAATTCTATTATTGTGTACAGACTGTTTGTATCATCAGGATAAAATTGATGAAAAGAACTGATTACTAATCATACTCAGATACCAAAAGGGAAGCGTAACCTATCGTACGTTGTGATATACTTTTCCATTTGGCTACCAGACCACTTCTCAGCGATAAAACGAACTTCAAAAGCATTTTTTAAGTAAAAAAATTGTAAATGGACTATGGCTAAACAATAATCCATTTAAAGAATTGAGCTGACTGGATTTGGTACCAAACTCTTCTATTGAAATAACTAAGTATTCCAATCCCCTTTGAGATTATACCAATCTTGTTTGAAAATACTAGAAATCATGCTGTCAATAATATTGAAATTGTAATAATTGCCTTTGTTAATGACTCCGTGAACTTGAAACTTCATCACCTGACATTTTAATTTGATATTTAATTCAAAACCGACGAGCTTGGGTTTCCTTCTTGCTTATCCGGCAATGATGATTTACCCAAATCTACATCCCTCGTGTGCTGGTTGCATTAGGTGCACTCATATGTATGATTGGTATTGGACATAAGAGTACATGGAAATCATTTCTTTTAACTTCATTTTTGGTCCGACTGTTTTGCGGTAAAAAATCTGGAAATATCTGAAATATAAAAATCGTGGAAAATGGACGTTTTCGGTATTTCGGAAATGAGGTTCATTTCGTTAGAAATACCGAAAAGTCGGTAGGTTCAGCAAAACTGGGTAGATCTCATCGCTGGAGCCATGTGCGCAGCCAAGGGGGTAATTACCCCCAGCCCCCACACCCATGACATGCTGATTTCAAAAAGCAATAGCGTATCTATCGGTTATCGGAGGTATTGCAAGTGAGTTCTGAATTCTAAATGAATAAACTTCTCAATTAAAAGTGTAAAACCTACAGCGTTTCATGAATTTCGTAACTGTCAGTTTTATTATTATTTGTTGTTTGATTTCACCCCTGCAGTGTATTTTACTATATCTGAAATATAGTTCAGTGCCGGATGCTCCGCTATTCGATTTTCATTTGTCGGCGCGCACGAAGTCACTGAGAGTGATTCTTATTTGGGTTAATATGGATAACGTGCATATTTTCACCTACATGTCAAACGACTGGACGGATTTTCTCATATGAAGTGTCGTTGGATTCATCTTAGCGGTGCGAGTGACACAAGCTACATTTAAACTTTATACAAAACAAAATGGCGGATTTAAATAAAAGATGTCAAAATAGTAATTCCTAGAAGGCTGATTTGTGATACTAAAACCTATATTTTTAAGGGTTTGATTGTTTATACCAGACAGCACAATTCCCCACAGACTTGTTTGTTTTGGCACCTACCAAAAGAGGATGAGAAAGAGAATACGCAAATTGCCTGTATTGCAACGAAGATGATATACTCGATTGTAGTAGATGAGTAGCTGGAATTGATGCTCGGTAAGAGGCTCGCTGCAAGGTACCGCATGATAGGAATAGGCAGAGGAACCAATAAAAGGTATCTACTTGCTGGGTTGTACATGTATAACTAAGAATGCGAGGTACTGTATCTGGGAATCTATCCGTCGTAAAGGCTTGCTGCAAAAACGTCCTTACTAAAACGGCCAAGAGAAAAACCTGTAAAATATTTTCAAGTTAGGGGGCGTAACTGCAGTCTTGAATCTAAAAAAGTGATGTTTCTGTGAATTCCGCTATATTAATGTTCTTTAAAGTCGAAGATAATGTGAGTTTGTTTTGTTTGACAATTTTTCTGTATCTCTAAGAATAAAGTGGTATTCAAATGTTTTCGAAACGGCTGAGCCGATTTTAACAAACTTGGGCTAGTTGAAAAGAGTTGTTCTTGGGCTACAAATGTTATAATATTTAAAGTTTTGTTAGTTCCACATGTGGCCGCTAGAAGGCTTTTTTATCCATTCTGGCAGATGGTTAATTTTCTCTCTCTGTTTTATGAAAAATTTGCTAGATGATGTCTAAACAACCTCGCGAAAACCCCATCTTGACATTTTATTCCTAAATTAAAATTTCGGCCTGGAATTCTTTTTATTCATCAGAAAACTTTTCTCATTACAAAATATCGTTAAAACGTAAGTAATTAATGCTAATAACAAAAGGCATATTTTTTGTTTAAATGCATATTTACTATGGGAATATACGAAAAAGACAATTAATGATAGCAGGCCATGGAGTATAACAAAAAAAGTACGTAATCAAAACATAAATAATCCTCAAATTGTCAATAGTTGTCAATAGTTTCGCGTTACTTTGAACAATTTTTGTGCTTATCAAATGCGTTTTACGAACGATTCTTGGTGTTGATATGCTTGCAGCTAATTTTGAATGTATTAGCAAAAATACTTTACTCGACTCAATATCCAAATCGGCGTCTTTGTGATGTGAGAGTTTTTCCCCGATTAGTGGCGAGCTTACGTTTCAACGACAAAGAATTGGAAGAACACAAGAAAATATTAATCTCGTATTGGGATATATTGAAGGAAATCCTCATGTTAGCATAAGAGCAGTATCACTTGAGTTGGGCTTATCACGAACAACGGTTCAAAATAGTTTAAAGGACCATAGGTAAGTTCTCAAGGCCATCAAAATATAGTGATTTATATGAGTTTAACGTTTTTCTAATTACTTTTGGAATGCCCCATATCATGTCGTTTTGCATCAGGCCTTGAAAGAGGAAGACTTTGATCGGAGGTTGGACTATTACCATTGGACGTTAGGCATGCAGGCACGTAGCCAGGGGGGGCTCAGGGGGCTTAAGCCCCCCCCCCCGAAATTCCGAAATAAATTTGTTTCAGATTTAAACATAAAAGACAAACTGAGAAAATTCAAGTGATCTCAATCATATTATATTTATATGAAACAAATAATTGAAATTTTTTAGCCTATGTCCTATATCTGTGCTAAAATTTAGCGAAATCGGTTCAGCCATTTTGGCGTGAAAGCGGAACATACAAACAAACATACACACTTTCACATTCAGAATATTAGTAGGGAAGTAGGATATTCATTTACCACTATAAAAAGATGCTTTCTTACCTATGGTATTTTCTTTTATCGCTACAATATTGGACATTTATTTGTTGTTCACCTTCATTATTCATTTATTATTAATCCATAAACGTGATGAATATCGATGCTTGGAAAACACCGATGTTTCGTGCCCGATGTAAATCGAAAATCGATGTTTAGTTGTCGATTTTAATATCGAGGGCATTATCAATTATTTGTCAACATCGATCATCCCTAAATTAACCACTCGTCCACCATACTCACTGCTATACGCTCATTCAACTAAAAAAAAAAAACATCAGACTTCAGCCTCGAACTCGGTCGCTTTTGTTCCAAAGGCCAGAACTTTACCTTAGAAATAGCTTGTCAAATCTTTTCATAACACGGTACATATAAGGAATACATGGACTAAGACAATTGTAAAAAAAATTTTGAAACAAAAAATTGAAAATCCTTGAGGTCTAGTCTATATCTGTGCTAAAATTTAGCAAAATCGGTTCAGCCGTTTTGGCGTGAAAACGGAACATACAAACATATACACGTTCACATTTATATATTAGTAGGTATTATTATTATTATAATTACTATCATTTTACTTTCATATATTTGTTTATTTCAATCATAATGATTTTGAAAATATTCAATTAGTATTTACAGGTGTAAGTTGATAAAGTTTAAGTTCGAATCTCACACGGTCTTTTGGTATGTGAAAAACTGCTTAGTTTAACTCTTCCATTGTCAGTGTTTCTCCAAGAAAAGTCTTTGGATTTCATCTCCGCTATCAACCGCTCAAAGGAAATAATACAGTCTTTGCGTGAAATTAGAGAATCTGCTGATGATTTCTTTGAGAAAATCTTTTTGTCTGCTTCAAATCTTGCTGAAGACTTATTCGACACTGAAATTCGAGCTCCGAGAGTTGTCTCACGCAAAGAAACCGTGCTAACCCGCAAACGGCATCAAATGAAGCGTATTTCAGTATTTCTACCGTGCATCGATTCCTTGGTTGAAAATTTAACAGAACGATTTCTGGAAAATGAAGATATCCTACCAAGCTTCCAACTTCTCCTCCCAGGATTTGCTAATGTGAGTAAGGCCGATGAGTTAGACAACTTAGCGTCATACTTCGACGATAAGATATCATCAACGGCAGTGAAGGCAGAATATCAAAATACTTCTAACTACGTTAGCCACTTTGCCAGTGACAACAGCTAGCGTAGAAAGATCGTTTTCCACTATGAAAAGAATTAAAACTCTACCGCGAAGTGTTATGGGCCATGAAAGATTGAGTTCACTCGCTATGATCTATAGTCACTGCAACGGCGAAGCGTCCATGTAACCATTGTTACCATTGGTAACAGTTCAAAATCTTCAAAATAAATATTTTATGACTAAGTACTGTGAAATAATTTCATTTATTTGTTTACCAACAGCGATATGTAATAGTAATTCAGTAAATAGCAAATTAGAAAATACTGCGTCCTATAGTGTCTAGGTTTTGCGAACACGATGAAGCTGACTCGCCTCGACTTGGTTGTCGGTTGTTACCATTTTCATTTATGGATACACTTGGTAGTCCATCGGGGACCGCCGGAACCGGCACCTGGCTGATCGCGGCCGCCCGAGTGCGCGGGGCGTAGCGACTATTATGTGGGCTTGTTACCATTTTTTGATTTCTGATACTCACTTCTCACTCGTTAGTAGCCGTTTTGGTTACCGGCTGTAGTGTGCGTGCAATTAAAGATGGATGAGTGTCGCTGCGTAATCTATCGATACTTGAAAAGTCTCCTTGTATAATTTTTAAGAAAAAAAGGAGATCATTGAAAATGGAAGACGAACACCTATTTTTAGATGATTTTAAAAAGGAATAAAAAAACGTAGTTTGTTATTTTAAATTAAGTTGGTATATGGAAACTCTTGGTTATGTGGTTGCAAAAAACAGATTGTATTGTTGGCGATGTCTTCTGTTTTATACAGAAAAAAATGGGTGGACCAGCAGCGGAGTCAACGATTTAAATAGTTTTAGGGCTCTAACGAGGAGACATGAAATTTCTCCGTTACATGTGAGATGTGTAGCCAATTTAATTCAGTTTGGCAAAACAAGAATCGAAAGTTGTCTTAACCAAGCTGTTAGGCAGGACACTTCTAGATACCGTATGTTTATTGGCAATACAGGAATTACCGTTCATTTTGAAGGGGATGACTCTGACAATAGAGGAAATTACAGGGAATTGTTATCATTCATTGCCAAAAAAGATCAAAAAATTTCCGAACATCTAGAAACGTCGACTGTTTTTTCGGACGGCTTGGATTAGTCGTAGCATAAGACGATGAGGTATATCAAGTGCCCCAGACGCTCAGTCCAGGAATGTTTACCTTAATTTAAAAATAGTTTAAATAAAATAACTAAAATAAGCAAAAACTTATATTTAGGAGGTTCAAAATAAACTTTTTTTGGTAACAGTTTAGGAAAAGTCACGCGTCGCCACTGATTCACTGGGATATTGCTGTCGATCCTGATCACGTCCTAGATATTTTATCGGAAAAAAAATCTAGAAGATTACTTTTTTAATAGTACAGGTCAAAGTTTCCGAGTTAAAGGTGTTATTCGCAGGTTTTTACCACATCATACTTACACATAGATGAATAAATCTATAGCTCTACAATAATTTCTTACATTTTTTTCGTAACTTTAACCTTCCTTCGCACCGCTGACTATGAGCAATTTGTAAGTAGCCCCCCCCCCCCCCCCCGAAACGAAATCCTGGCTACGGGCCTGTAGGCATGATACGCGGAAATACAGAATCTTTATTTCAAATTCTTTGGACCGATGACGAGAGAATCAATCTGCACAATATGCATTATTGGTCTGCAGAAAATCCGCATTTGTTGCGTGAAGTTAATCACAAAGGGCGTTGGAGCTTAGATGAGTGGTGTGGCATACTGGGAGGCAGAATTATTGAGCCATATTTTTTCGAGCAATCCCTAAATGGCAATGTCCTTTTTGACTTTTTGGGCAATGAATTACCGTTGTTGTTGAAAGATGTGCCACTAGATGCAAGGCAGAACTTGTTTTTGCAATTGGATGGTTGCCCAGCACATTTGCTATTATTGTGCGAGAGCATATTAATCCAGTATTTCAACAGAGGTGGATTGGAAGATGTTTGTTTCCATGGCCTTCGCGATGACCACACTTGTCTTGATTCTTATTTATGGGGCCAGTTAGAGGACATCATCGTGTTTTAGACTCAACCTACAACCAGAGAAGATATGAAAAACCGGATTCGTAATGTAATACGTAACATACCGAGAACCAAATTTGAAGCTGAAGTTTTGTCTAACCATGAGAGGCTTCGGGAAGGCGTGATGGTCAGCATTTCGAGCATTTACGGTGGCATTAAAAACCTTTCTTTTTTAAATCGGTCCTTTTTAGTCCCACAACTTAATAATAAAGAGAAATTACAGAAAAATTACTTTTCAAAAATAAAAATTTGAGGGATTTCCTTTGTTTGCCTAAATTTTAGGTTAGGAACAATATATCGAGATGCGGTTTCTGCGAGCTTGCTCAAACATCTTTTGGCTACTTTTTGATATAAAAAAATCATACCAATGCTGTAGTTTTTTCGAGAAAATTAAGCATTTATGTTGGGCTGTCGAAGAAGGCCCTCTAGCGGCCACATGTGAAAAAACAAAACCTCGTACCTTGTAGCCCAATAATGGCTCTTTTCAACTAGCCCAAGTTTGTTAAAATCGGCTCAGCCGTTTCGAAGGCGCATGGTGTTTTTTACGGAAACCCTTGAATATTTTTAGAGATACATCAAAAATTGTCAAAAAAAAGGTTCAGATTATCCTCGAATTTAAAGTCCATGTATTGTTTTGTTAGGTTAATGTAGCGGAATTCACAGAAACATCACTTTTTTAGATTCAATGTTGACTTGAACGTATTTTCCAGGTTTTTCTCTTGACCGTTTTAGTAAAAACTGTTTTTGCCGCAACCCTCTATGATGGATATGTTCCCAGATACAGTACCTCGCATTCTGAGTTGGCCACCCTGTATATGTACGACGATGCGAACCGCAGTGGGATGAGTAGCAAACGACCGAGGAGTTTAAGTGAGTATGCCGCTTCTGGAGAATCTCATACTTCGGGCAGGAAAATCCGACAGTGTAATATTGTTTGGCTTTTCTGTCTGAGAGTGGCTAAAAAAGCTCTTCCCTGACAAAAAATGTTTCTCAACAGTACCTAATAACAGTTAACAACCGTTACATGGCTATCAAAACGGCTATAACTTTGAAGTACACATGCAAAGATACCCTAAAACCCGCGGCGATACACCCTTAATACAAAAACGATTGACCGTTTAGCGTCTTGAAAAACTGCCTCCATTAAAATAAATTTACTATAACATTATAATATAATCATTTTAAATTTATACAGGGGTTCCATGGAAGGGTTGGACGACAACAAAAATAACAAATTCCGTGGGTTGGTCTGTACCGATTTCAATTTAAAAGACGGGGGTCAATTATTCAGAGGTGCAGCAAGGGGACAGGACGAGGTTTTGAAATTCTAACTCAAAAATTTTGACAGTTTGAAATACTGGCCATTGGAGGCATAACATCAAACTCCATAAAAAAATGTCTTCTGAGCAGATGAATAGCATAATCAATAAGTTCAAAAGTTTTAATCAATTACCCTACCTATGCACAATAATTCATTAACGATATCGCGTAGCTAGAAAAAAATACGTACTACACATTTCTGGGCTTCAAAATCAATAAGCTCAATCAAGTTGGATATGTCTCTTATAATTCATCATTAATGTTCTTGTCTAACCTAATGCGTTTTGGTGATGTTTGAAGGAAATTGATCTAAAGGCATTTTGGTGGAAGTTATGGCTCAGATGAGTTCTACTTAGCGGGTTGTCGGAATAAAAACAATTGTGATAATTCCTCTTTTGCTCTCTCTAAAAATAGTGAATTACAACCAGTTCAACAATGTAAACGAAACTGTGTTTTTTTTATTTTAATAATAATAATAATAATAGAAATACTAATAATAATAATAATAAACCACTTTTGTATAGGGCGAAGATTAGCTACAAGCCATTGCACCACTTAACGCTTGAAAAGGCTTGTGAAGAGGTGTAGTTAAGGCGTGAGTGAAGCAAATTATTCTTAATAGTGTACCTAAATTTTTTAGTAGAAAAAATAACTCAACCGGAGACTATGTTCTGTTGCATAATTTTCAATAGAATTTCTTTAGGTCCTCTATTATATGTGCTTCCGAAATGTCTAAGGTTTCAATATTGAACTATGATATAATTGTGAGTCGTGAGCAAAAAACTGAATACTACAAAATCTCACAATGCTGTTTATATCTACTATATACAAAATAAAGGGTAGTGCTCCAAGCATTGATCCTTGAGGCACTTCTGGGGAACTCAGACGTTCTGTAGAAAATTCTGAATCAACGACTACCTGTTAGGATCTATTTATATATCAAAAAACTCTTAATACGGGCCAGTGTAGCATATCCTTCAACAAGCTTTAAATCATGTAAGTCAGACATACCGGTGAGACCACCCCATGCTTGACCACAGGTAGAAAGGGCGCAACCCCTGACCCTTGGCTGCCCGCGTACAACACTTCACTTGTTCTGATTTTTTAACTTCCTTGTATTGTTACTTCCTAGGTACGCTATCTAGTTTCCATTTTTGGACCCGGCGATTTTCTTGTGGGAAATTAAAAGGACACTTGATTTAGATCGCTTTAATATGGACAAGGATACGTTTTAAATTTTCTATAAGGGCATATCTATGAGCCACTCAGAGGTATTGTTGACCTGTATACCCTGACGGAATCGTTCGTTTGACGGAAGTTCCTGTTGTAATTTGTTAGTCACTTATACATTTGTGTATGTGTCTGTTGACCTAAAAATAGTTGGTGAGAAAATCTGAATCTCCAGTGCTTACCAGTGGTAAAAATTGGAAGTAAAAGATCAAGTAATATTTCTGTTGATCATCGTGTACCTCAAGGCAGCGCACTAGGCCCATTGCTCTTTATTCTGCATGTCAGTGACATGTTCAATGTCTGTAACAAATAAATTTGTTTGCGGATGATACACTATTTCAGTTAGTGATTCAGTAAGTAACGAAATTGTAGACGTAGTGAATATTGCAACGAACAAACTTACTGTATGGATAAAACAAATAAAATTAAATTAAATGTGAAAAAACGAAATGTATGAACATAGGTTCGAAAAATAATTGTAAGAAGTTAGCAGATTTAAATTTTTAAATGTCTAGGTATTCTAATAGATCAGCAACCAACCTTCAACGAACATGTTGTCTATATGTCCCAGAAATTAGGCAAACATTACAATATTTTTTTCTTATTTCACATATTGTAAATAAATAAAAAAATGAAATAAAATAAATAAATCGCTTATCTTGAACAGTTTCTAAAAAAATATTTGAAATGTAATGGTGCGACATTTGGTCAAAAGAAAATTTCCATATACAAAGATTTAAACCTAAAGGTTTATAAAAGTCAACGTTTATTGAAGGTCTAAAAATGCCCAACAATCTGCCTATTATTGTAACAACATCTAGTAATGCTAAAATTTTTAAAAAGATACTTTGTAGAGACTATTTTGGTTGGTGTGACGACCACTTGGTAAATTAAGCACATTTTTTGTAAATATTTATTAATAATAATATTGTTTGAAGTAGCATAAAGCTAAATAAATCATTTCCTATTCTGTTCTGAAAGTACATGTCATTTATTCAAAACTCCTGATAGTGTAAGCTGAAGTATCTTAATTTGCATATAAGTTGAAAAAAATTACAACCGTTCTGGAACGTAGACATGAAAATGCTACAGTTACCCCAGAGTCACGATAAGACAACAAATGTAAAGCGTGATTAAAAACAGCAGCAGCAATTTTTATGAACATGAGTTCTGAAATGAAATGCTTTCTTGCCAAGGTAGAGGGTGTTGTATCAACACTAAACTCATCTACTGATATCATTTAGCTGAATATTGCTAAGCCAGCTCCAACGAAGCGAGTATGCATTGTACTCATTTGATTTTGCAACGAACTGCACGTATACAGGATGTTTCAGAAAGACGTACCAATATTCCGAGGGTAGAAAGTACATACAAAAATTACAAAAAAGCTCTTATAACTATGGGTTCAAAGATTCTCCTACCCAGATATAGGGTGATGAAGTTTTATTTACGAAAATATATATGTATCTATGGAGTGGGTAAAGATTTTGGGCGTTCAGTGAGCACATCATAAGTAATAAAAATACAGTTTCCCGGCCCAAACTAAACCTGGGACGTAGAAACTGGGGTACCTGGACCCCTATTAGGAAATATTTTCGACCCCACTGGACTTTTCGGACAATAGAAGCGCATTTTACAAAATAACATTTAATTTTCTATAAATTTTGTCACTTAAGGGGTTTTTGTCAGATCATTCGTTTTCGAGATATTTAGATTTGGATATTTGAGGTAAAAACCTAAAATATTCTTGTGGAAAGGTTTAGCCTCCCCTATTACGAAAACACAGTGAAGCAAGATATTGGAAACACTATATAGCATGTGAAGAAAGCTATGGCACATCTTTACAACATTAGTTGAATAATATGCGTGTCTTATCCTCAATCAGCATCGTGCAAGCTTACCATTCATTAAACCTTGTCTATGCACGCCACTGATTTTCAAGATATACTCCTCCTGGTGTTACCTATGTTAGATTCTTCCATTTGTCCCTACCAAAATAGATTCCCCTTGCCTATATCTAATCGACTACCCTGAAAAACATTCCTGATGGCGCCCAAGTTATCTGATTGTCTTTTTACACTTACATTTAATCTAAGAATTGCAATGAGGTTCCTTTTTGCTAGCTCATCACCTTTTTTTATACTATATTAACAACTCATTTTTCGAGTCAGTCATTCAATCTCAGTCACAGCGAAACGTACACTGTAATACCGGTTCGGTCTGTGTACATTATTGATGGAACCAAATAAAGTAAAGAAAACCGGAGTTTGAAGTTTCGACTACACAATTTCCATATCTCCACAATCCCACTATCCAAAAAACGACAAAAAAATAAATGTGAGTGTTTTTACCTTTTTTTCCAAACCTACAAACGTTTTCGCCCCTGACTTATTTCATCAAAATTCAGGTGTTACTTTCCACGTTTTCTTTAGATTAAGGATTTGCAGACAGATCTTAAGATAGCCAGACGGACTAACGGAATCGACTGACAGGTTTTTCGTGATGCAAATGTCATGTAACATCCAAAAAACATCTTGTTTTCGAATTTTCATACGTATGAGAAGTAAGATGTTGCCATTTTTTTCTGAATATAGATAAATATTAGAATTTTTGCAGGGCCTAACGACGTCAATTATCTTTCGACTGCTTATGGCTACCGTTACCGAACTACACCCTTTTTACTGTCTAAAGTCTAATTCATTACTCTACACTAATTTATAACACTTGCTATTAATTAAATATTTATAACAATGTTCACTGGATTAAGATGACGCGACAGTCGCTGCTCGCTCACTGTATCGACTGTGACTGACTGCTTAAACCACAGGTAGGATATTTATGGCGTGAATCAATGGTTTCCGATGCACTCCAATATTTTCTAGCCAAAACTCGATTCCCCCTCGAAGCTGGTAGATGAAAGAAGTTCTAAAGGATTGTTGAATCTTGGCCTAACCTTTTAGACAGTGTCGGAAGCGCTCACGCACATGAACGCTATCCCTTTCGGAGCGTCGGAAGCTGCGATACATGCCCTATTTTGAGGGAATATCTTTTCGCAATTCAAGGTCCCAGTTACGAGGGCGTTACACTATTTTTACTTCCCGCAAAAACTAGAGAGGAAATAATAATTATGTTCCAGTTTTGTCGAAGTAAATACTACTTGTAGTACCCTCGTAGCTCACCAAACCCACGAGTTCAAGACCCGCACTCAGCGAAGCAAAGCGGTTCCGCGTTCCCTACCTTCCTCTTCTCTATCCGCCTATAAACAGTCATTTTCTTCAAAGTCAAGTTGTTGCAACAATTGGGTGATACATGTGATACATAG